TAGCAGAGGGCGGCGGGGCCGCGATCGAAGGGCGGCGGGGCCGCTTAGCAGAGTGCGGCGGGGCCGCTTAGCAGAGGGCGGCGGGGCCGCTTAACAGAGGGCGGCGGGGCCGCTTAGCAGAGGGCGGCGGGGCCGCGATCGAAGGGCGGCGGGGCCGCTAAGGAAGGGCGGCGGAGCCGCGATCGAAGGGCGGCGGGGCCGCTAAGGGAAGGGCGGCGCGACGGGCCGCTAGGGGCGACACGACGAGTCGCTAAAAAAAAGGAAAACGCGCCTCGGGGCGCGGTTCGGTGGGCCCTAGAAGCAGTCCCTAGGAGGGAACCTGCTCTGATTCCATGTGAAAGAAAGAACGAGAATGAATTGACTATGAACGAAGTGAGTACAAATAGGAAACCCTAATTGGGTTGTACCCCCTATGGGATACCCCACTATAGCCTACACAAATAAGTAAGCTATAATGTTCTGACATACGCGACTACCAGAGAAAGCTGGGCTGCCTTCTCTTCGCAGCTGTCACCTGCCGCCCAGATCTATCCTACTCTGCAAGCCAGCTCGCCACCCACCTCAAAAGGCCTGAAGCGGAACACCTGGCGGAGCTCGACCGCGCTCTTCACTACCTTGTCAGTACCCCGATGGTCGGCCTGACTTACCATAAGAACGAAACTACAACGCCTAAGCAAATCGGTTACGTCGACGCAGATCACGCGGGCGACTCCGACAACAGACGATCGCGCACCGACTACATCTACCGCTTCGAGCCTATCGGACCTATCTCTGTTAAATTTCTAAGCATAGGTTGGCTTAGGAGCCATAGTTTAGGTTCTTAGTAGATCGAGTTCTAGGGTAAGGAGAATGTCGAGAAAGTTGAGAGAGGAGAAAGAGAGCTTCACTATAGGTTGACAACAACATATAGCAAAGAAACAAAGAAGGTGCACCACCAAACAAAGTTTATAATAACTACACTAACTACAGCTACAGGCAGTTACAGATGTATTCTGACACTCCCCCATAACTGCCTGCAGCAGAAGCTAATGCAGAGATACCCCCTGAAGGGGTACACCAAGCGCAGCAGAAGGAGAGGGCAAGTGAGGAGGAGGGACTATGTGAGGAGAGGCTGCTGGCAGGTGAAGCTGCTGGCTCCAAGGCGGCTGTTTCCTGGAACCTTCCTCAGTCCTCCAACTCCCCCTTCCACACTCCTTGACAACCCTAGCACCTCTCTCCCAGCTCCCCCACACCCTCACACCCACCCCCCCCCAGCAGCACCTGCAGCAGTGGGAGAGAAAGGAGGAGGAGGGGAAGGGGATTACACACACCCATCACCCCCATACCCGCCACCCCCATAGCCTCCGTTCCACGGCTGCACGCGCAGCAAGGAGACGAAGAAGGGGGGGGGGGGGGGGCGGGGCAGGGGCGACAGAGCAGAACAGAGCGCACGAGGGCGCGGGTAGCAGCAGGGCGCACGAGGGCGCGGGCAGCTGAGCGCACAAGGGCGCGGATAGCAGCAGAGCGGCAATTGGCAGCACAGGCACGGGCAGCAACGGGCAGCAATAGGCAGCACAGGCTCGGGCAGAAACGGCCGGCAACAGGCAGCACAGGCACGGGCAGCAACGGGCAGCAACGGGCAGCAACGGGCAGCACAGGCACGGGCAGCAACGGGCAGCACAGGCACGGGCAGCAACAGGCAGCAATAGGCAGCACAGGCTCGGGCAGCAACGGGCGGCAACAGGCAGCACAGGCACGGGCAGCAACAGGCAGCATAGGCACGGGCAGCAACGGGCGGCAACAGGCAGCACAGGCACGGGCAGCAACGGGCGGCAACGGGCAGCACAGGCACGGGCAGCAACGGGCGGCAACGGGCAGCAATACCGAGTCCAGGAGCGGCGGCGCATACAGCTGTGGGGTCGGCGCCGTGGGCTGCTGCTGGGGCAGCTCGCGGGGTCCAGAGGCGGCTGCTATTGCTGCTCCAGGGGCTGCTGTTGCTGGGGCGGCTGCTCCAGGCGCTACTGCGGCTGGGGCGGCTGCTCCAGGCGCTACTGCGGCTGGGGCGGCCGCTGCAGTGGCGGCGGCTCCAGGGGCTGCTGCTGTTGCGGCGGCGGCTCCAGGGGCTGCTGCTGCTGGGGCGGCTGCTCCAGGCGCTGCTGCTGCTGGGGCGGCCGCTGCAGTGGCGGCGGCTCCAGGGGCTGCTGCTATTGGGGCGGCGGCTCCAGGGGCTGCTGCTGCTGGGGCGGCTGCTCCAGGGGCTGCTGCTGAGGTCCGGGGGCGGTGTTGGTGCAAGGTAGGCCCGCGCTCGGCTGCAACGCTGGCGCGGGCGCAGGTGAGGCAGAGGAGGTGGCCAGGGCGGAGGGCGCCGCGACGAGCAGGGACGGCGCCCAAGGAGTGCCGCTACGAGCAGGGGCGACGCCCCAGGGGCGCCGCGACGAGTAGGGGCGGCGTCCAGGGGGCGCCGCGACGAGCAATGGCGACGCCCCGCGGGTCCCGCAGTGGCGTTGCGACGAGCAAGGCGACGCCTTGCGGGTCCTGCAGGGGCGTCGCGATGAGCAGGAGCGGCGACGCCCGGGTCCCGCAGGTGCGTCTCGTCGAGCAGCGAGGGCCGCGCGCGACTCCCCAGGGCGCCGGGACGGGATAGCGGGGGCCGCGCGCGGCTCCCCAGGGCACGGCGACGGGGCAGCGGGGGGCCGCGAGCGGCTCCCCAGGGCGTCGTGACAGGGCAGCGAGGGCCGCGCTCGGGTTGTGGGGCGACACGACAGGCAGAAAAACGTCACGCGCCACCCGAGCGCGGGACAGAACGAAAATCGCCACGCGCCCGAGGCGCCCGACCGGGAAAACAGCAGCGAAAGCGAGAGGCTGGCCCACAGGCCAGGACTTAATAGGCTCTAATACCACGTTAAATTTCTAAGCATAGGTTGGCTTAGGAGCCATAGTTTAGGTTCTTAGTAGATCGAGTTCTAGGGTAAGGAGAATGTCGAGAAAGTTGAGAGAGGAGAAAAAGAGCTTCACGTTAGGTTGACAACAACGTACAGCAAAGAAACAAAGAAGGTGCACCACCAAACAAAGTTTATAATAACTACACTAACTACAGCTACAGGCACTTACAGATATATTCTAACAATCTTCTGGCAATCGAGCAAGCAGGAATTAATTGCTCTCTCGTCAGCTGAAGCAGAATATATTGCACTCTGCTCAGCCACCAAGGAAGGACTCTATCTTCGCGAGCTGCTGGAAGAAGCGAAGTTAGCCGAGTTACCCAACTTTACCCTGTTCTGCGACAACCAATCGGCAATTCGCATTGCCAACAAGAACGGCTTCGCGAACAGGACGAAACACATCGCCCTGCGATATTTCTTCGTGAAGGACGAGATCGAGAAGGGAAGGCTCGAGCTGTCCTACTGCCCCACGTCCGAGATGGCAGCTGACTACCTGACCAAGAAGCTCGGAAAGCAGAAGTTCGAATACTGCATGCTGCTGACTGGACAGAGCCACGTCAGCGACACTCCAGAAGCGAAGGGGAGTGTTGGAAACAATCGGTCGTAAGCGCTTCTGTCGTGTCGAAACACTAAAGCACAAGCGAAGCAAAGCATACCGAGGCACCAGCGAGTCAACCCTCGGAGGTTGAAGTAACCGCTGGAGGTTACGCGAAAGTCAAAGGTCAGCGACCTTTGACCAGACAAGTACAGCGCGACAGCAAGGACACATAACCGACTCGCTACAGAGCAGTTGCCCGAGTCGTCACTGTATCGAACCGCAACAGCAACAAGTAAAACAGTTATAACCGTATCCTTTCATATTCCTTGTACTCTTATACCGTAAGCCCCCGGATAGAAGCGCATGCCTCGGATAAGCGCCGGCGCTTATAAAAGGATGAGGGCGCTTATATCCGGTCCTCGATTATAAGCGCACCCCTGAAGGCTTACGGATTATAAGCGCCACCCTTTTTTTTCTAGCTATAATTTTACTGAATTCATCGTAACGAAACTCAACATCTCCATTCCCACATTTTGAATTTCGATGCCCTTCACCCTCGCTCGGCTCACTGCCAGCGCGTCCAGTCAGAATGAGCTGTCAGGGGTGCACGTTGACTCATTCTGACTGTGTGTGTTGGCAGGGAATCAATCCCTGCCAACTTGCAAGCGAGATTCTCAATCGCAACCCTGTATAGTTCAGACTCGATTCAATTTGTGAGAACGGGATCTACAGTTTGGTGTACAAACGAAATATTTTTATATATGCTATTATATAAGCCCCGGCGCTTATAAAAATCCCCGATTATAAGCCCAACCCCTAAAAAAACGTGTTTTTTTATAACCCCAGGGGCGCTTCTATCCGGGGGCTGACGGTATAATCTTGTATCTCTTTGTTTTAATCAACTTACTTTGCCCTCACATACTAGCGCAAAGTGGTTCACAACTCTTTATTAACGCTTCCGTTACTACACCAACTCTACCCAGAGTTCACCCCTGCAAAGATCCTAAGGGCCTTTTTCAGCTTAACAAATGCTGGGGAGGCGAGTGAGAGTGTATCCACTGCTGCTGTCTGTGCCGCTGCCGGTGCATGTCGCACTGCTGTTTCTGTGCTGCTGGTTCTAGCATACAACATGAGGCTGTACGCCCTCCTCCACCTTCAACACCAGCTGCTGCATACAACACTGCTGCTGCTGCTGCTGCTCCAGCTGTTGTAGGGTGATTCCTCTCGTGTTGTGCAATAATGTGCCGCAGACTGATGAGATTGTTGCTGCTATCATTGATCTACTAGCCGCAGTCAGAGGGACGGGGCGTGGCGTGCCTCTGATGACTCTGTTGTTGAGAGGTAGTTTGACCTGTTGCATTGCAACTCCAGATGCTTGGTGCTTGATTGGACGTTTGGTGCTGATTTTATGAATAAAAACCTTGCTGTACGCTAGTTGTGATGTTAATATAACGAATACGGACGAGAAGGCACAGCGGATGGGAGTTCCTTATAACAGACCCCCCGGTAAGAAGGCACGTGACATGCCATGCCCATCACAATCACAAGAGCTTTTCCAGACCAAACACAAGACCCTGCAGTTTTGCAGAGAAGAAAAAGGCCAAGAGGGTTGAGGTGGGAGGGAGGAAGTGAGAGGTGGGGAAAGGGCATTGTCATGCATTGAGGAATGCGTCAATGAGAGAAAAAGGGACAGGGGTGGAGAGAAAGAGCGACAGGGGTGGAGAGAAAGAGAAACGATTTAAGAATTTAAGAATACATGAGCGAGCTCCTAGAACCAGAGTAAAGGGAATTGTGAGACAGAATGGTTGGCATGTTGAGAGGTAAGGTTGGGGGCGGGGGTTGGGGTGAAGTGGGGTGGGGTGGGGTGCGGATGCACGTTGAGAAAAGAAAGCACCAACTTCATGGAAGAGAGGTGCGAGGTACACATTTTTGGGGCGCCTCAAAACGAGGTACAAGGTAAACGAGGTACAAGGTAAATGAGGTACAAGTTAAACGAGGTACAAGGTAAATGAGGTACAAGGTAAACGAGGTACAAGGTAAATGAGGTACAAGGTAAACGAGGTACAAGGTAAACGAGGTACAAGGTAAATGAGGTACAAGGTAAACGAGGTACAAGGTAAAGGAGGTACAAGGTAAACGAGGTACAAGGTAAACGAGGTACAAGGTAAATGAGGTACAAGGTAAACGAGGTACAAGGTAAACGAGGTACAAGGTAAACGAGGTACAAGGTAAACGAGGTACAAGGTAAACGAGGTACAAGGTAAACGAGGTACAAGGTAAACGAGGTACAAGGCAAACGAGGTACAAGGTAAACGAGGTACAAGGGAAACGAGGGACAAGGTAAACGAGGTACAAGGTGAACGAGGTGGATGCGGGAAAGCAGCAGCAGTGCAGAAGAGGCGGGATAAGAGGCAGGTTCTGACCTTCAACCTGGGAGCTCGTCTGATGGCGAGCAGTAGACCCGGCATGTATGCTGCATGTGATGTGATGTCCAACCGGAGAGATGCTGTCTGTGTTCGCCATGCCACATACCATGCCACATGCCATGCCATGCCACATGCCATGCCACATGCCATGCCATGCCACATGCCATGCCACATTCCATGCCATGCCACATGCCATGCCATGTCACATGCCATGCCACATGCCATGCCACATGCCATGCCATGCCACATGCCATGCCACATGCCATGCCATGCCACATGCCATGCCACATTCCATGCCATGCCACATGCCATGCCATGTCACATGCCATGCCACATGCCATGCCACATGCCATGCCATGCCACATGCCATTCCACATGCCATGCCACATGCCATGCCACATGCCATGCCATTCCACACGCAGCATCACAGAATGAGCATGAGATAAAGAGTGTGGCATGTGTGCAAGAGTGGTCATGAGTGGTCATGAGTGGTCATGAGTGGCATGTCTGTCATGGGCACCATGTGTAGCATGTATAACACACAGCAGCACAGTAACTCACCTGCCCGTTGCTCCCAAACCGCACGTCTGTGCTCTGCAGCAGGCCTGGCTGCTGCATGCTGTGCACCCTCACCCCCTCCTCCATAAGCAAGCCCCGAGCCTGCAGAGCAGGGAGTGGCATCAGATCGAGAGGAGAAGCATGATGGGAGTGTGAGTGTGAGAAAGGATGGGCTGCTGCATGCTGTGCACCCTCACCCCCTCCTCCATTAGCGAGCCCCTAGCCTGCTCAAACAAGACAAGACATGCACAGGAGAATGGCATAGTGAGTCAGCATGCATGAAGCCAACGCATGGCATGGCATGTGGGGTATGAATGTGGGGTACGGCATGTGGGGTACGGCATGTGGGGTACGGCATGTAGGGTATGGCATGTGGGGTATGGCATGTGGGGTATGGCATGTGGGGTATGGCCATGTGGGGTATGGCATGTGGGGTATGGCATGTGGGGTATGGCATGTGGGGTATGGCATGTGGGGTATGGCATGTGGGGTATGGCATGTGGGGTATGGCATGTGGGGAATGGCATGTGGGGTATGGCATGTGGGGTACAGCATGTGGCATGACAAACTCACCGGGTCCTCGGATGAGTCATTGCCATTGAAGGTGCGACCCACTTGAGCCAGCTGCTGGGCCAGGCGAACAGCGTCCTCTGATGGTGCCTGTGTGCGGGCAGGTGAGTGAGCGTGCATGAGAAGCCATGTCATGAGTATGCCATGCCATGTTATGAGTATGCCATGCTATGTCATGAGTATGACATGCTATGTCATGAGTATGCCATGCCATGTGATGAGTATGCCGTGCCATGTCATGAGCATGTCATGCATACCGGCGCGTGCTTCACGTGTGACTTGAGGGATGAGGGTGATGCAAATCACGTGGCACCTGAGCAAATGATTACGTCATGCCCATCACCTGGGCCAAGTCGGCGCGTAACTCCATGATTTGGGCATGGGACCAATGGAAGGCGAACTGAGTGGCAGCCGAGCACGTGGTTATGTTATGTGTACCTCACTCACAGCCACCACCCTCGTGCCCAGCACCCTCACCTGCATCAGCACCCTCACCTGCATCAGCACCCTCACCTGCATCAGCACCCTCACCTGCGTCAGCTCTGCTCGCGACTCAATGATGTGTGCATGCGAGCAATGGAAGGCGAACTGCGTGGCAGCTCGTTCCAAGAGGATGGAGAGGATGCTGAGGGTGGGGGCGACGATGCATCCCTGGGGATGTACGGGAAGGAGAGGAAGGGAGAGAGGCACGTGCAGGGAGGGAGAGCAAAAGATCGTGTCACGGGGCAACAGCAGTGAGAGAGACTGGAAGGCGAACTGAGTGCAGCTCGTTCCAGGAGGATGGAGAGGATGCTGAGGGTGGGGGCGATGATGCATCCCTGGGGGTGGAAGGGAAAGGAGGAGAAGGCACAGGCAGGGGGGAGGTGGGCTGTGCACGCCAACACTGAGGCCACGAAGCTCGTTCCAAAAGGTGCAGCCAGGGTGGGAGAATGGAGAGGATGCTGAGTGTGGGGGCGATGATGCAGCCCCGGGGGGGAAAAAGGGGGCACAGGCAGGGAGGGAAGCTGTGTGAAGGTCAATACAAGAAGCACAGGCTCGCGAGGATGCTGAGCGTGGGGGCGATGATGCAGCCGTGGGGAAAGTCAAGAGGGAAAAGGGGATATAATACAGAATGTGAAGTGAACATTGTGCATGTGGAAAGCTGTGGTCTATGCTAGAGCTCCTGTTCGTGCCTGGGATTTCTTACATTCTTTAGACGCATTCTCAGAGCGTTGCCGCACAAGGAATAAAGGAGAAAACAGTGTGGTTGAATCGTGAATAGGGATTCTCTGGTGGGTGGGTGGGGGCATCCTCTGATAGCGTGGATGTCCCCACCCACCACCACAGCACTCGCCTCAATGCTGTAGCTTGATTTCCATTTCCCTTCAACGTGTAATAAGTCGAGTGTTGAGTCGACTCAAAACTCGACTCATTACAGGTGGGTGGGGGCATCCTCTGATGGCGTGGGTGTGTGGGGATGCCCCCACCCACCACCACAGCACTCGCCTCAATGCTGTTGCCTGATTTCCCTACAAATTGGCTGCACTGACTGCATTGACTGGAGTTAACTGCATGCATGCCCTACCATCGATGCTTTGTCGCAAAACTCATAGAGACCACTGAGCTCATCCTCTGGTATGTGCGCCCCCACCACCACACTGCTGAGACCGAATGCTGTTGCCTGGGGACATGGGGTAGCGGGGAGAGAGGCGGAGGAAGGCAGGAAGGGAAGAGGGCAGAAGAACAGTGGGTATTAGAGCTCATCCTCTGGTATGTGCGCCCCCACCACCACACTGCTGAGACCGAATGCTGTTGCCTGTGGCCATTTGGTAGTGGTGGGAAAGAGGAGAGGGGGAGGGATAGGAGGGAGGGGAGGGGAGGGGGAGGGGAGATAAGGGTGGCTGCATGCATGACGTCATTCGCTGTTATGCTCGCTTCGCTCCCACCACCACACTACTGAGACCTTTCTTTTGCAAGGGGGAATCCACATAGCAAAGGCTTTAACAGGGAAATCCACATACACAACATCCCACTTACACACACACACACGTGCATGCAAGCATGCACAAAACCCCGTCAAAGCATTCACGGACTCACACTTCCTCTCTCCATCTCACCTCACCTTTCCCACGTTCTCACACCCCCAGTGATATCCACATGGACACCAAACCACCCACCTACACAAACACACACATGCACAAGACTATGCAAACGCGCGTGCATTTGCACACACGCACACGTCAACGCACGCACTCACATACTCCCACCACCTCCCTCCATCTCACCCTCACCTGTCGCACGTTCTCGCATGCAGCAGACGCATCCCCAGAGAAATCCACGTATACGCCTGTAGACCGCGACTGGGGGAGACGAGAGGGAGGGAGTGGGGAGAGAGTGAGTAGAGGAAGAGTGAGCAACAGAGAGCGCACCTGAGCAACACAAAGAGCACCTGAGCAACACAAAGAGCACCTGAGCAACACAAAGAGCACCTGAGCAACACAAAAAGCACCTGAGCAGCACAAAGAGCACCTGAGCAACGGAGGCCAGGACCATGATGACGTCAGCCACCACTGGCAGCTCGAGAGGCTCAGGTAGACCCGCCACCTGCGACAACAGAGACAGGAGTAGTGCGAGATGGGGGACAAGGAGGAAAAATGGGGAGAGGGAGTGGGGGAGAGCAGAGGGGTGGACTTGCAGTGGGGAGTGAGGCAACAGAGGCAAGGGGGACGGATGGAGAGAATGATGGTGAGAAGGAGGCGCCCATGCACGCCTGTCTTTTTAATGCTGTGCAGGCGCCCATGCACGCCTGTCTCGCTCTCTCGTTTTTTAATGCTGTGCAGGCGGAGGGAGAACGAGAGCACGCAGCTTGCTCTCCCTCTTATCCTCAATTCCTCTCCCTCCTCCCATCCCTGCTTCTCTCACCTCCCCCGCGTCTCGCCCGTTGGCCTCGGGATTGCCGTGCACCACAGCAGCTAGTTGCAACCTGCGAGGGACAACCAAAGGCCTCTGTCTCCCCCTCATCCCTCAATCCTCTCTCAACCCTACCCTATCCCTCCCCTCTCCCCTCTCCCCACTACCCTCTACCCAAACCCTTCTGACCTCCCCCGCGTCTCGCCCGTTGGCCTCGGGATTGCCGTCCACCACAGCAGCTAGTTGCAGCCCCCAAGACTAGCACCTTCCATCTTTCTCGCACCTATCCACTCCTCTCCCCTTTCCCGTCTCACCTCCCCCGCGTCTCGCCCGTTGGCCTCAGGATTGCCGTCCACCACAGCAGCTAGTTGCATTCCGCGAGGGACTAGCACAGGCCCTGTCTGTCTCCCCCTCATCTCTACATCCTCTCAATCCTTCCCCCACCCACCCTCTCCCCTCACTCCTCTCCCCTCTCCCGTCTCACCTCCCCTGCGTCCCGCCCGTTGGCCTCGGGATTGCCGTCCACCACAGCAGCTAGTTGCAGCCCGCGAGCAGAGGAGAGCGTAGAGAGAATGGTGGCGCCGAGAGGCGAGGCTACAGGACCGCTCACCACCAGCTGTGGGGAGGGAAGGAATAAGGGGGCACACTTGTCTTATATGAGTTTGCAGCTGCCAGTTGCAGCTCGCGGGCAGAGGAGAGGGTCGAGAGGATGGTGGCGCCGAGAGGGGACGCCACAGGACCGCTCACCACCAGCTGGGGGGGGGAGATAAGGGACAGATAAGGGGAGGAGGGAAGAAAAGTGCTTATTCATGGAGCAGCCAGTTGCAGCCCGCGGGCAGAGGAGGGGGTCGAGAGGATGGTGGCGCCGAGAGGGGACGCCACAGGACCGCTCACCACCAGCTGGGGGGGGGAGATAAGGGACAGATAAGGGGAGGAGGGAAGAAAAGTGCTTATTCAAGGAGCAGCCAGTTGCAGCCCGCGGGCAGAGGAGAGGGTCGAGAGGATGGTGGCGCCGAGAGGCGAGGCCACAGGGTCGCCAGCACCAGCTGAATGGGGGAAGGGAAGGGACGGGACGGGACGGGACGGGAATGGAAGGGCGCAGATTCACCGTTGCCAGGACCGGATTGTTCATGAGTTAAGGCAATATGAATTGGGCAGACTGACCACGTTACCGCGTTGCTGCGCGCGCGGCAATGCGGCGGGTTGATTTGCTCAGCGCCTCACCTGTGAGGCCACAGGAGGGCACGTGTCATCACTTTACTGCCGCATTGCCGGCGGAGGGCACGTGGCAGCACGTTACCGTTGGTCACCGCGAAGGCTAAGGAGATTTCGCGAGGAATATTCCGTTTAAGGGCACCTTGAGAACGTTTCCGCCTTGCTGCGGGCGCGGGAATGCGCCCATTCCTGGCGGCTCTCCGATCGCGCGGATCCCGGCTCGCCGTTCGATCTGCTGATGAAAATTCGATCCTACGGCTGGGATCAGATGAACCCCCCGTTGCTGGCGAAAAGTATCTATTGATTCCCCGGAAAACGCGGACTTCGAGTACGTGGGAAGTAGGCGAGGTGAGTGATAGTCGCGGGTGGTGAAGGAGGAATGGAGAAGCGAGTGCGGAACGGAAGCCATGGCTGCCTGGTTCCGCGGCCTCAAAAAAATAATTCTATCCTGTCGGAATTCAAGAATGAATTTTGTTGCTAAATTGTGAAGGTACCGTGATGTGAAGCGAACTCAAGTTGGCGATTGTACGCGATAAAATGCTTCTCGGTACGATAGCTGTCTGTTTCGTGATGAATGCGTTTGTTCCATCCTCCAACAGCTTCAGTAAGCGCATTTCACAAACCAGAGATTGCTACACCCAGCACCTCGAAAACTCCGCAAAAGCTACCAGGAATGAGTCGCCATCGCACTGCATCACTACTATAGCAGCTTAGACCCCACTGAACCGCGTCTGGCCCCGTCAGGGGGTAGCCTCCCCAGCGTTCCAGACAACCTTGCATCCCGAATTCGAGGAAATAGCCTCCCCAGCATTTCTCAATGAGTAGAACTGCTTCTTAACGCGTTCAAACGCACTGCACCGCACTGAACGAGCATTGGTTCGCCAAACTGGCAGTCAAACTACTCCTGTCACCCAGTCAGCAGTCATCAGTCACCAGTCGTAGGTCACCAGTCATCAGACCCAACTTAGTAGAAGAGTCCGTTTGGAAGTAGCAGGAATGTCAACGATGCTTGAGCATAGGAATCCGATACGCACACAGCAAGCTCGACCTCGATTCTGTCGGAGCTTGCTCTACCACCACACATTGATAGCGACCGACTCTTTGCGACGCATCGAGGCTCGTTGCGACTGATTGCGACATGGAATCCACATTCTTTACGTTGTTCTTCCGAATCGAAATGACGGGTCGGTCGCTGTCAAAGCGTGGTGATCGCGACTGGCTCACTGCGGGACGTAGTCGTCGTTCCATCCCAGTCCTCGCACTGCAATGTCGCGTTCCACGATCATCATGTTTATCCTTTAAAAAAAAAAATCTCGATCCTACTTCCATCGTTTCGACTCCGACTCCAAACGAATTACACGGCTGATGCTACTGGCACAGCGCTATGTCTTACAGAAAAGAATGCTCGTTGTCGCCACCACTTGTGGCATTAGTCGCTGTGTGTTTATATTTCGCGATTGCCGTCGTTGAAGCGTCGCCTACTCTGAACCCAGGGAGCGAAAGCAAATGCGAAATCCCCGCCGAAACCGGCACGGCTCTTCGAGCCCGTAATGTTGGGTCGCGAACCATTGCGCGAACCCCGCCTCTCGGGTAACACCGCTGGCGAAACCGATTATGACAAACGCTCGTGTCGCATCGCCGTGCATGTAACATGCTTTACCTGATTCCGTGACGTGCCGCGTCTGACGTACCTTGTGACGTGGCATTCGTGGCAGGTGGAACAGCTGGAACCATTTCGGATGCAATGTCACTGAAGAGATCGTGAAAACCCAAGGTAGTTCTGCAAACGATAGGCCCTTCTTCTCATGCCGTATCATCGTGTGACTTGGGTGTGTATCTTGCCCTTCTTCTTGACATGAGTCTCTGAGTCAGGATCAACGTTGTTGGGATTAGCAGTACAGTACGGTACCAGTATGCAGTCATTGTTGTTTCCCAGTGTCCCTTATGTTATTCTACGCAGATATGCGTGCTGTTTCTGCAACTGTTACCGTTTCAGTGCCAGTTATGACAGTGCATGAAACGGAGAGCCACAGAGATTGCATTGCACAGCATTGTCACCTTAGAGGCATAAGGCCCGCTGTTGCTTTCACGGCTGATCATTCCTGCTATCTTGCTGTCTTCTGCTGTGTGTTGATGGGTGCTGCTGTGTGCTGGCAACCTCGTGATGCCAACATGCTCTCTGTCACAGCGGACATGCTCGTATCCTCAGGACTCGCAGCCCTTGGCTACATCTATGTCAACATCGGTGAGATGAAACTTCATTAAATACTTGCAGTGCTTGCTTGCTTGCGCATGTAGATAGCAATAAGTGGATATGATGAATATTGTGATTGAATCAATCTTCGTCGTAGTTCCAGGCATGTTAAAACAGGAGTAAAAAGGCAACCACCTGCAGACAGGGCTATGTTGAGATTGGGGCTTGCCTGAACGCATTGCCAGCATGATCATGTCGCCTTGTTGCATACTTTTGCTCATTGGGTTTATTTGGCATGTAGTTGCCTGACCTCTGCCTTGTGTCACTTGCATCCTGCTAACATCGTGACTTGACCCCTCTCTTTTTCACAGATGATTGCTGGCAAGCAGACTCTCGAGACTCTGAGGTGGGTAAATTATCCTCCCATCCCATGCATCCGAGTCCAATGTGTCCCATGCATTAAAACCCCCATCCATTTCCTCTCTCTGCACTGTCCGTCCACTGTGTGTTCAGAGAGAGGAAGGGCACTGTTCAGAGGAACAGAGTGCACTTTCAGAGGAACAGAGTACACTGTTCAGAGGAACAGAGTGCACTGTTCAGAGGAACAGTGTGCACTGTTCAGAGGAACAGAGTGCACTGTTCAGAGGAACAGAGTGCACTGTTCGGGCCGCCTGGCGCCATCCCCAGTCTTGAGACGTCTCAAACCCAGTTTGCATTTCCTCAAGGATGGCTCGCATTTCCGCGCAGTCCGCTGTGTGTTCAGGGTCCCATGGGCCATTCGTTCAAATGTATGACGTCTCAAAAGCCCCATGCATTCCATCGCAACAACCATCCCTTGTTGTCTTTTTGTCCACTGTGTTCAGGGCCGCCTGGCACCATCCCCGGACGCATTCCCTTCGGGCATCAAGGCGCTAGCAGATTATGTGCACAGCAAGGGGCTCAAGCTGGGCATCTACTCCGACGCTGGGTGAGTCAGTGCGTCGATATGGTCTGAAGGGGCTACAATGGAGAGGGGTTGGGGAACGAAGTGAGGGGGTTGGGAGTGGTGCTGCAGACTATGTGCACAGCAAGGGGCTCAGGCTGGGCATATACTCCGATACTGGGTGAGAGCATGATGCATCTAGCTGGTTGGGAATGCTATGCAACAGCAAGTGGGGAAGAAGATGGAGGAGAGGAGAGAGTGTGCATATTTTCTGAGCTGGTCCTTTTGTCTGAGAGTGTGCATTTAGAAAATTCCTGGAACCAGGTAGATATGTCAAATTCTCCATGCTTATGAATGTATGTATGTATGTACCTGTCTGGGTTGTATGGTACCTCCACCCCCGCACCAGCATTCGCACGTGCGCACTCAAGCCGGGCTCACTGTGGCATGAAGCAGTGGATGCTGCCACCTTTGCTGAATGGGTGAGTGAGTGAGTCATGATGCACACGTGCGAACCTGCTCTCTGCTGCGTGCGCACATGCCCTCACGCACGCACTAGCAACTGTGGCACATTCTTGCGGCGGTTGATCCCGTGTCTGTGGCATGTGCATGTGACAGGGAGCGGATTATCTCAAGTACGGCAACTGTTACAATGACCTCTGAGTCGACCCAAAATCCGTCTTCCTTGCTTGTCGCATGTGCATGTGACAGGGAGTGGATTATCTCAAGTACGACAACTGTTCCAATGATGGAAGTCCCAGCAAGAAGCGGTACGTATGTGCTCCCTGCAGTCATGCTTGTGTGCCACTACTCTCATTTAGTCCACCCTTTAAGACTAATCCGTTGACTTTGGAAACGTCTTTGAGTGAATGATTTGTATCCATGCCACCCATCCCATCCCTGTCATCCCTCCATACCCCCCATGCCTCAACCAATGCCCTCCATCCCTCCCTCCCATCTCTCCCATACCCCCCGCTGCCATCAGCTATACGACCATGCGCAATGCGTTAGAGGCCACTGGGAGGGACATTTTCTTCTCGATGTGCGAATGGTGAGCTCACATGGATGCATGCTGAATGAGGTTATTGCTGGGAGGGACATTTTCATCTGGGGATGCACCATGTGCGACCGCTTGCAAATGTCCCAAGAACTCAGCATGCACCCAATATGAGCTCACCATTCGCACATGGAGAAGAAAATATCCCTCCCCAGTGGTGTTCTGCAAGGGACATTTTCTTCTCCATTTGCGAATGGTTAGAGGATTCCATTTGGGGATGCGCCATGTGCGACGGCTTGCAAATTGCTGCGTGTGGACTCTAAAGCCAAGCCCGTCAGTTGCTCCATTGCCTCGATTATTGCTGTCTACAGGGGGCAGGATCTCCCTGCTCTGTGGGCACATGGCGTGGCAGACACGTTTTGAGACGTCTCAAAACAATTCTAGTTTCAGTCACTCCATCATCTCCGTTATTGCTGTCTGCAGGGGACAGGATCTCCCTGCTCTGTGGGCGTATGGCGTGGCAGACACGTGGCGCACCACCCGTGACATCGAGGACACGTGGAGCAGGTGAGGTAACGTGGAGTGGAGGAGGTGAGGACATGTGGAGGAGGTGAGGACACGTGGAGGAGAGGAGGTGAGGACATGTGGAGGAGGTGAGGACACGTGGAGGAGAGGAGGTGAGGACATGTGGAGGAGGTGAGGACATGTAGAGCAGGTGAGGACATGTGGAGCAGGTGAGGACATGTGGAGCAGGTGAGGACATGTGGAGCAGGTGAGGACATGTGGAGCAGGTGAGGACACGTGGAGGAGAGGAGGTGAGGACATGTGGAGGAGGTGAGGACATCTGGAGCAGGTGAGGACATGTGGAGCAGGTGAGGACATGTGGAGCAGCTTAGGAGGGTCACGTGGAGGGGAGAGGAGAGGAAAGGGTGAGGGGTGGAGATGGTCAACGGAGTGGAAGAGAGGGATGAGAAGGGAAGGAAGGAGAGGTGGGGGGAGTGTGAAGTAGGAGTAAACAGGGGGGAGGTAATTGGAGAGGGAGAAGGGTGAGAACGAATGCATGGTAGAGATTGGGGAGGTTGGTAGCCAAGGGAGAGATGAGTCGAAAGGACCTGTTTCAAGACACACCTCAGAACTTACTGCTACCATCTTGCCTCCCTGCCTGTGTGCATGCTTGTGGCGTGTGGCACGTATCACATGCAGCATGATTCGCATTGCAGACAAGAACAACAAGTGGGTGTGCCATCAGTAACGATACCTTGCCTCCCTTCTTTTGTGCATGCATGTGCCATGTGGCACGTGGCATGTGGCATTTGGCAGGTGGCCCTCTTGCAGCATGATGCGCATTGCAGACATCAACAACAAGTGCATGTGCCATCAGTAACGGTGCCTTACCTTCCTGTCTTTGTGCATACATGTGCCCGTGTGGCACGTATCACATGCAGCATGATGCGCATTGCAGACATCAACAACAAGTGGGCCAAATACGCCAAGCCAGGCGGGTGGAACGGTGCGTACCAGTGGGACATTTGAATATGCCCAGCACAGGAGGTGGCTATATTCACCGTGATTTAATCAAATTCACGTTGGAATGGGCGGCGATTCTCTTCAACTTGGTTGAATCGAAGCCGCATCAAGCTCCTATAGTCTGCCGCTTTTTCTGCCATGCTTGCACCGCTTTTGAGAATTCTCAGAAATGGCCGCTTTTGCTGTCCCTCCCTCCTTCTGCTGTTGAAAGATGAATCCATCTCACAGGGTGAAAAGTGATTCTTGTCTCACTCATGCATCAGCCAGTGTTGTTGCCTCCCACCCTTCCTCTCCAACATCCCCCCAACCCCCCCAACCTTCAGACCCGGACATGCTGCAGGTGGGGAATGGACACTCCCTCATTCCCCCTATCCCCAACCCGTATCATGACCCTGCCTTTGCTCTCCCTCCCCGACCTTTGAGGCGCCTCAAAAGCCAACCCGTATCATGACCCTGCCTTTGCTCTCCCTCCCCAACCTTTGAGGCGCCTCAAAAGCCAACCCGTATCATGACCCTGCCTTTGCTCTCCCTCCCCGACCCCCCTCTCCCCCATCAGACCTGGACATGCTGCAGGTGGGGAACTGACTTCCCCTCTAACATACCTCCCCCGTTTCCTCCCAACTCTGCCGTTGCTCTTCGTCCCCCACCCACCACCCTTGACAGACCCGGACATGCTGCAGGTGGGGAATGGCGGCATGAGGGATTCAGAGTATCGTGTGCACTTCAGCCTCTGGGCCATCATGAAGGTACGATGGGCCATCATGAAGGTGAGGCGAGGCCATCATGAAGGTGATGATGCACGTTGCTTTTTCCAGGTCCTTGGCTCCAACTAATCTCCCTACACAAACACTGCAACGTGAAAACATGATTTCAGTTCTGGGCCATCATGAAGGTAAGGCAGGGCCTTCACAGAGTTGCTTGCGGATACGTCTTTTCAGGTGTACCTACATGAATGCTTGTGGTTGTGCTCATGAAGGTGAACCTTTTCTAGGCTCCACTCACAGGCTCCACTCACAGGCTCCACTCACAGGCTCCACTCACAGGCTCCACTCACAGGCTCCACTCACAGGCTCCACTCACAGGCTCCACTCACAGGCTCCACTCACAGGCTCCACTCACAGGCTCCACTCACAGGCTCCACTCACAGGCTCCACTCACAGGCTCCACTCACAGGCTCCACTCACAGGCTCCACTCACAGGCTCCACTCACAGGCTCCACTCACAGGCTCCACTCACAGGCTCCACTCACAGGCTCCACTCACAGGCTCCACTCACAGGCTCCACTCACAGGCTCCACTCACAGGCTCCACTCACAGGCTCCACTCACAGGCTCCACTCACAGGCTCCACTCACAGGCTCCACTCACAGGCTCCACTCACAGGCTCCCACCCACCCGCCTATCTGCCACCAGGCGCCTCTCCTCATTGGCTACGCCTTCCGCTTACGTCCTCCCACCAGGCACCCCTCCTGATTGGCTGCGATCTCTCTGCTGCCTCGAATGACACCATGAGCATTCTGAGCAACAAAGAAGTGATTGCCGTCAACCAGGGTAAGCGCTCTGAGTCGACTCTAAGCGTGTGTTCTGATCTGAGGAGGGGTGTGTTTACAGTGTGTTAAGAACACGGCTGCGAGAGCTCTGACCCCTCGGACGAGACCATGAGCATCCTGAGCAGCGACCAAGTGATTGCGGTAAACCAGGGTGCATGCTCTGCTCATCCTGATGTGTCGCGCTATGTTAAAACGTTGCCTGTTTTGGGGAGCTTCAGAGCTCATTGCTGTGAACCAGGGTAACATAGAGCTACACAATAGCAGCAAGTGCTCATGCTGCTGAATAGCTCGGTATCGACAAGCTGCCTGTGCCAGGCGTCTCAAAACGTTGCCTGTATATGTGCGTGTGTTCAAGCAAAAGGGGCACCCAAGCAAGGGATTTGCAGAGGTGAACAACCCTACTTGCACAAGAGGTGCAGATGTGGTTTGAGCAGACTATGGTACATGCACTCGCCATTCCTCTGACACGTGTTGCGCTGTGATTGGTGCGATGCAGATCCACTGGGAGTACAGGCACGGAAGGTACAATTCTCCATTGACTACCCGGTGGAGGTGAGATCATTAAACACCCTCTTGCGAGCCAAGACTTGGATAAGCGTCACCATGGCTTGGATAAGTACGAAAGTCACCCTCTCCCCACCACGGTGGTGTGCCTGTTAGTTTGCTGACAAAGTAGACTTTCAGTCAATTTTGTTTTATAACTCAAGTCAGATGCTTCCAACTTACACTTGATACTCGTGTCCTTCCTCCACCTGTAGGTCTGGTCCGGGCCTCTCTTTGAGGGTCGGCAAGTAGTGGCATTGGTGAATCGTGGTGAGAGGAGCGAGAATGTTACGGTCAGCTGGAAATCAATAGGGCTGAATCCGGTGCAGCAGATGTATGCGCAAGACCTCTGGGAGGTGAGTGACTTCAAGACCTTTGTAGCAAATCTGTTTCTTAGTTGACTCGAAAATCCGGTGCAGCAGACGTATGCTCGAGACCTCTGGGATGTGAGTAACTGAGTATCAGCAGCTGTTTCCTCTCATTTTCACTCTCTCCTACCCCTTCTTCACTTCTTCTCGTAAGTACACAAATTCTCTTTCAAAATACACTTCCCAACCTCTGGGAGGTCGGTGCATGGCTCTCAAATTCCCTCTATCATCCAGCTCCCCTGTCCCCACCCCCCTCTTCCCTCCATCCTCACTCTCCCAGCCTCTCATCCGCCAACCTCCCACTCATTTCAAAGTCGTATGTGTGTGCACACACACACATACGTGCATTTGCAAGGCACACACGCACACGCACATGCATACACATGCACTCATGCACGTTCGCACACACACACACACACACACACACACACACACACACACACACACACACACACACACATACACACAACCTGAGCCTCTTCCACTCACAAATTTTGAAACTCCTTACCCCCTTTGAAACCTCTTCCTCGCCTCCTCCTCCCCTTCCCAATGACATGTGTGTAAACACATACCTGAAGCACACACTCATGCAGAGGCTTGCTCGTTTTCACACAACCAGCATGATCTCTGTTATGTGTCTCCACCCATGCTGCTTCTTCTGTGCTGCAGAAATCCACCTTGGATTCTGCCGTGTCTGGAGAGCTGAGTTCTCGAGTTGAGAGCCATGGCGTGAGGCTGTTTGTTCTCTCACCCACACCAGATGTCTAAAGCTTGCTATCTCACCCGTATCAGATGCCTAGTCTAACTAAATCCAATCATTTCGCATTACTGGTGGTGATGCAGCAAGTCAAATTTTGAAGACACGCTGTTGTCTTCCATTCTTTCATGTATATTTTGGATATTACATTGTAGGGTTTGCAGATAGAAAAGACTGTTTTATTTTTTTGCCTCTAGTACTTAGGGAACCTCTTTTTCAGAGTGTGCTGGTACTCACCATATCTTTAGCATAAGGATAGTTTGCTACACCTATAAGAGTGTGTGTTTGTGTGTGTGTGTGTTTTTTTTTTTCTTTTCTTTTTCTTTTTTCTTTCTACATCACTCACTATCCACTTCCTGGGGTTGAGGCTGGTGAGTAGTGATAGTGGTGAAGGAGGGAACCGCTCCAGATTGCACGACATCGTACTCAACCGTTTATTATGAGCGAAAAGTCCTCTCTGGTCACCTGCTGTCCGTGTGTACGATTGCACAACATCGTTCTCAACCGGTTGGACGATCATCAGACAAACGTGTGGCACACTCTCCCTTCAACCCCAAGAACGCAGAACAGCTGTCAAACTCCAGAATTGACGACCAGACCAGACAGACTGTCGGTCAGTCACGCGACAATCAGCAGAATCGGTCAACGATTGTTGACGGTCCGAGACGAGGTGCAGGAAGGATTCCAGGAACCCTCTCTCCACCTTCGTGCCTACCACCAGCGTTACCATCGCCTGGGGGATGTCGCTGCGCCTTCGCTTCCGTCGCCCTTGGGATCATCGCCTTTCCTCCGAGTGGCTGATGACAGATAGGTAGCAGTTTGCATCAGCGGATGGAGGAATGGAGGGATGTGATAATAAAATCGTAAATCTCGTACTGCAAGGGTAACCCACCCAGCTTCAGAAAACGAAACTTGAGAGTAGAATTCTAGAGCCTTTGCAAGGCGCCATACTTGCACAGTCTCCGACGGCGTTGACCAATCGCTTGACTTTCTTCTTGCTCGCAGGATTTTTTTTGTTTTGTAGGACATCGTACTGGCGAGGCCTGCTAAATTTTGGGATCCGTGCCCGGAGGGGTGTCGTTTCTTGCGTAGTTGTTTTAGGAACTTCGGCTTTCTAGTCTATAGTTCTAACCTTGGCTGAACGGCCGTCAGATCTCGTCAATCATGGTTCGGACGTTAAGTTTTCATTGTAGGGTGCTTGCCGCTGTCCTCCTGGCTGCCGTCATTGTCGCGGATGCCAGTGCAAGCGACCATAGATATGGCCAAGGGGACAGCGTGCCTTTGTACGTGAACAAAGTCGGTCCCTTCAGCAACCCTAGGTGAGATTCTGTGTTGATGATTTGACTCCAAGTATTCTGTGTCTAGTGGCGACTGACGCTGGGTGGACGCTCGAAGAAGTAATTTATTTGCTACTCTTCATTTCAGAATGTTCCGTGCTTCTTTTATATTCTGTTATTTTTCACTTGTGAAGCTTACATATGCGCCTTCCGTGTTCACCGGTTTGGCTCCAAACTCGTTTTCCGCAGTGAAACGTACAAGTTCTTCGATCTGCCGTTTTGCCAGCCAGGTTCGTTCAACAGCAAGTTGCTCAGTCTTAGAATTCTGCAAGATTCGCTTTCTTTGTGTCTTTCTCTCGCTAAAAACTGCTCAGCCTAAGCTTGCGTTTCTTTACGTTGTACGAACCTGCTACAAACCTCTCTTTCCAACTTAGATGTTTCACTCCCATGATTCGCGACCTTTCAACCCAGCGTCGTCATTTCACGCAAGTCAATCCGCTTCGTGTGTGTGTTCAGGAAAGCTTGAAGAGAAGCATCAATCCCTCGGCGAAGTGCTGAACGGCGATCACATGGTGCAGGCCCCTTACGACCTAAAATTCCGCGTAGATCACGAGCGAACGACGCTCTGCAAGCGCACGCTCGGCGTTAAGGACGTCCAGAAGTTCCGCAACGCGGTCCTGAACGACTACTATTTCCAAATGTACTTGGACGAAATCCCGATCTGGGGTTTCATCGGGAAGGTTGACAGTGGCACGTACAAGGTTGAGAGTGACACGTACAAGGTTGAGAGTGACACGTACAAGGTTGAGAGTGACACGTATGACACGAACCAGCACATCTCTATTTTCACGCACATAGATTTCGACGTAGCGTATAATAGCGACCGCGTGGTGGAAATCAGCGTGGCGACCGATCCGTATAGCACGGTGGAGATGGACAGTAGCGAGGATACGGAGATGGAGGTGGAATTCACGTTTTCCGTCTCGTGGACGCGGACGGATAAGGCGTTTGAGACGCGCATGGACAAGTACGCGCGGTACGCGTTCCTTCCGCAGCATGTGGAGGTCCACTGGTTCTCGATCCTCAACTCGTGCTTCACGGTGCTGCTGCTCGGCGTCTTTATCGCGACCAGACTCACGCACGTCCTCAAGAGCAACTTAATCAGGTACGTCAAGGCAAATTCACTAAGCTTCTTGAACGATTTCGACCAGCATGTAACCGTTTCGCGCGTGTTCGTCAACCCTTCATTCACTGCAGTAGGACAATCAAGAGATGCCATTTTGTCGATTCCTGTGTTGATAGTCGGTGACTCGGTGGTGTATGGGTGTTGTTGCAAGAGGGTGGTGAACGGTATGACCAAGACAGTGTTGCTGTAGCATGTCTTATGGCAACTTACGAATAAAGGATTTCGCCCGCTTGTTTTTTTTTCTTTCTTTCTTTTTTTTGATAATTTAGGTACTCGCATGATGCGGATCCGTTAGAAGAGACGGAGGAGGCTGGGTGGAAGTCCATCCATGGCGACGTTTTCCGCTTCCCCAAGAACAAGGAGCTTTTTTGCGCCGTTCTTGGCAGCGGCACTCAATTGCTCTTCCTGTGAGTTTGGTTGCCTGTTCATTAGTAGTACACTCTCGCTTATTGGTGCAATCTAGTTTAGGTTGGTTCGGTTCATACTCAGTGCATGATAACAGCATGCACGCAATGCATACGTCATTAGGATCATAAAGCTGCTTCTCTCCTGATCTCATCAAAGCCCATATCCGCATCTATTTCCGTGCTTGCTCTCTTTCCGTCAGGGTCCTTCTCATGTTTATTCTCACTCTAGTGGGGGTGTTATACCCCTACAATCACGGTGCTTCGTGGACGGCGCTGGTGGTGATTTATGCGATGACCTCTGCAATCGCTGGGTACACGTCTGCGTCTCTCTACAAGCAGATGGAGGGGACCAATTGGGTGAGTGCAATGCAGTGAGTGCAATGCATATGCAGTGGGTGCAATGCAGTGGGTGCGATGCAGTGGGTGCATTGCATTGCAATGAGTGCAATGCAGTGAGTGTGAATGCATTGCAATAAAAGAGAAACCCGGCAATGCGTTTTCACTCAGATGAGAAACCTGTCCTGTCTGTAAGGCGCTTCAATTCAAGCTTCTAAGTGATCTTATCCGCTTATTCTGTTCCCCACCCTCCCTTCACCACCCCCTCTACCCTTCTACCCTCCTCTTCACTTCCTTCCCCTTCTCTTCCGTCCCCTCCCATCCGTCATTTCAGGCGCACAACATTGTGCTGACGGGGTGCATGTTCGGCGGGCCGGTGGTCATCTCCTTGTGCTGCCTCAACATCATCGCTGCTGTCAACGACTCCACCAACGCCAAGCCCCTCACCACCATCCTCACCCTCACCCTCATCTGGACCCTCATCGCCTTACCCCTCCTCGTGGCCTGCGCCATTGCCGGCAAGAAAAGCACTGCTGCAGAGTTCCAAGCACCCTGTCGGGATTCCCAGACTTCAAATTACCCGAGGGCGATTCCGGTGCTGCCGTGGTACCGCCATACAGCCCCTCAGATGGCCCTGGCTGGGTTTCTGCCGTTCAGCGCGATTTTTTTCGAGCTGCATTACATCTGTGCGGACTGGTGGGGGTATAAGGTCTACACGGTCTACAGCATCCTCTTTATAGTGTTCATCAATTTCATCCTTGTGACGGCGCTTATGGCGATTGTGCTCACGTACTATCAGCTTGCATCAGGGGACCACGAGTGGTGGTGGAGGTACGATTTCCTCAACCCCTCAACCTCTCAACCTCTCAAACTTTCAACCTTTCCGGATTTTCACTGCCTTGTCTGTATTCTGGTGACGCATGAGGTTATTTTTGAGATTTCTCAAGAATACCCTGCGACTTCAAAGTCACCTCAACCTTTTCCACCTTTTCACCGCCTCATTTGTATCTTGCTTCCTCCTTGCTTTCTAACACCTGCTCCCCATCCTAGAGTGCATGTCTTGTCGGTGTCTTACTCAACTGGCTGGCATGTGTCATTTTGATTCCCCTCCATCTCTTCCCCCCTCCGTCATCCCCTTTCCCACCCACTCAGGTCGGTGCTGTGCAGTGGCTCCCCCGCGCTCTTCATATTCGGCTACTGTTGCTACTACTACCACGCGCTATCCCACATGACCGGCTTCATGCAGGCGTCTTTCTACTTTTGCTTGATGGTGTGCGTCTGCTACGGCCTCTTCCTCATACTCGCCACTGTGGGGTTCTGTGCCTCGCTGGCCCTTGTGCGCCGCCTCTACCGCTCCATTGGGCGCGAGTAAGTGGAGGGAGAGGGCGAGTGGGGCACGGGGATTGGGAACAGGGAGAGATGAGGGGAGGGAGAGGGGGAATGGGGCACGGGGATTCATGCAGGGGGCTTTCTACTTTGCCTGCATGGCGTGTGTCTGCTACGGCCTCTTCCTCATGCTCGCCACCGTGGGCTTCCGCGCCTCGCTGTTCCTTGTGCGCCGCCTCCACCGCTCCATTGGATGCGAGTAAGTGCTTCTTAGGGCAGGAGGGAAGGGAGGAGAGGGGGGGAGGAGGGGGGGGGGGGGTGGGGGTTTGAGAGGAGGGGGAGGGGGGTGGGGGGGTAAGCTGTGGAGAGGAGGAGGATGAGGAGGGAAGAAAGGGGGGCGCAGGTGGTTTGAGCAGACTATGATGGACACACTTGACACGTGTGTTGCATTGTGATTGGTGCAGATTCACTGGGAGTGCAGGCACGGAAGGTGCAACTCTCCCTTTACTCCCCAGTGGAGGTGAGATTATTAGACCCTCTCTTTTGTATCGTGGTTTCGATAAGCATCATTATGGCTTGAAGATGTGTCACAGTGGCTTGGATAACTGTCACTACAGTACCGTTTTTGCTAGCTCACTGACAAAGCTGATTATCATTGATTCTCTTCACACAACACATCTGAAATGCCTCCAACTCACATGAAACAAATGTGTGTCCTTGCCCAGCCAACAGGTCTGGTCCGGGCCTCTTTCTAAGTGTCGGGAAGTAGTGGCATTGGTGAATCATGGTGAGAGGAATGAGAATGTGATCGTCAGCAGGAGATCAATAGGGCTGATTCCGGTGCAGCAGATGTATGCTCGAAACCTAAAGGAGGTGAGTGATTGAGCTGCAGGACAACCGTTTGAATCTTCTTGCTCTCTCCCGCACCTCCTTCGCTCTTTGCGATGCAGTGGATGTGTGCTTGAGACCCCTGGGAGGTGTGCGTTGCATACCTCTCATAGACTTATTTATCATCCCCCTCCCCCCATCCTCACCCCCCTCTTCCTCGCTCCCAAAGCCTCTCATTCGCCAACTTCCCCCTTCATTTCGAAGTCATACTTGTGTACACACGAGCATGCACACATGCACAAACACACGCACGTTTGCACGCACGCACGTGCACACACACACACACACACACACACACACACACACACACACACACACACACACACAAACACAACCCGTGCTCTGTTCCGCTCACAATTATCAAACCTTCCCACCCTCTTTGTTTCACTCTCCTTCGCTGTCCCTTTTCCTCCCCCTACCCAATAACGTGTGTGTACACACATGCACACATACGTGCAGACACCTACTCTTTCACACACAACCAGCACGATCTCTCTTCTCATGTATCTTCTCTGCTCCCCTTGTTGCTTCTTCTATGGTGCAGAAATTCTCATATGCTGTCTCTCGAGAGCTGAGTGCTCGTGTTGCGAGCCATGACGTGCGACTGTTTGTTCTCTGGCCGGTACCAGATGCCTAATTCATGTTATATGGCCCGTAATATAAGCCCGACTCGTGACATCTGGGGCAGACCAGAGGCATAACCCAACTGGAGTTGGGCTGTTACTGCATCTTCTCAAATGATGAGTGTGGTGCATATTTTATTGTTGGTGGTGCGTGTATCAAATCCCCGTTTTGTTCATATCTTCCTTTCGGGACAGTTCTTGTTGAATCTGTTTTGGACTCGGGGCTGGATTAATTCATGGTGACGTGGTGCTATGTCACAGAACGGGCTTCACACCTCATCTACGGCTGGATTCTGGTTCGTGGATAATGAATCCGTGTTTGACGAAATCGATCAGCTGTTGATTCAGCTGCAGATTGCAGTTACTGTGCTCGACACAACAGCTTGGTGCCTTGTAGGTGGCGTTTCTTTTCTGGTTCTACGGTGCGTTTTAAACAGGGTCTACATGCTACCGTGCCAAATCTGCGTTCCCGAAACACGACCTACCACCTTCTGTCAGTTGTTCGGTCCACGCACCCCTCGTACACCCATCACCGTGCACCCCTTCAAAACCTGTATCCGTCAATCTCGCTGATCGACTCATTGAACCGCCCTTCAAAATCTGGCTCGGTTTTCCCAAGGGAAGTCAAACCAAACCAAGGGATCACGTTCACCTGGAGGTCTCCCTTTGGGGACTTCCGCTCCGGTCCTCCCATGTCCTCTGAAAGCTCACGCGAATATGCAGACAGGGAGAAGTTGAAGAGACAGCCGAGCAAGCTGGCACGCTTGACGGGCCAACAGCCAGTTCACTGAGCTCTCTTGCGTCGGCTAGGAGTCTGCCACATTACCTAGAATGCCCAACATTGAGATTTCAAAACCAGTGAAGCTCAGCAATCTGTACAAACTTTGAATGGGCTTTTGAGGGATCATGAACGACTACGGGAGAGGCTAGTGACTGAATGCGACGCGTAGCGGCTCCCAGCTTCCTCATATATCAATTACTAATCATACATCGCCGTTCGGGCATTATCTGGGGTTTATAAACAAATTTCTGCTCCTTCTGTTTGCCTCGACACGCATTTCAGCTTCTCGTGTCAGCGCAATGTCAGACCGAAAGATGGAGGCCTCGTTCTTATCCATGTGCTTCTGTCTCGCTATAATCTTCCATCAAGCCTCGGCCATAAGCGAAGAGGCATCCGTTCCGAACGTTCTGAGCCTTGGCCGGAAAGAGAAGCTGGACTTTTCTGGAATTGTGCATCGCGATCGGAAGTTCTCGCGAACTCCGCCGCTCGGGTAACCATACAAGCTCAAATTAACGGAGTACTTAAATCTCTTCGTCACGCTCACGAAACCGGTTACATACGTAGTACTTCATGAGCTAGCATCTGTTCCTGAGCCGTCGGAACGTAGCTTATGTCGTCCAGTGTCTCCGTTTTATAGATAAGAAACATATGTTTATCTAGCCTGTTAGATCTGTTGTTGTACAACGGGGCTGCAATGTCCGTGTGGGATGATGCGACAGATGGAACTAAGATGTTTCTGATGTCATCTCCGTGTGTCATGATGTGGCAGATGGAACAGCTGGAACCATTTCCAGTGCAATGTTAATGAGCACATTGTGAAAGCTGCGGGTAAATGCTCTCACCGTGCTCTTTTTTTGAATCCTTCAATTGAAAGCCTTGGAATCCAGCTCCAGTTGATAAAAAGACTTGAAACGAGCCATCATTGCAGCAAGTTTAACCAGTTGTCATGTCCTACCCTTGTGTTGTTCGTGTTCCTTGCAGCGGACAAGCTCGTGTCATCTGGGTTAGCAGCCCTTGGCTACGTCTATGTCAACATAGGTGAAACACGTTATCCCTCGTCCATCCTTCTTTTGTTGAATTCGTGAATCTGAAGCCAATTGGCTCGTGCTGTACATGCGGCTTCAGCCGCGTTATACGTCAGTTCTGTATTAACATGGATACCCCTTGTTCCTGAAGTGTTTCAACCTTTTCTTCCTTTGGTTTCGCTACTTCATTCATAAGGCGTCATCTCTTGTGGTTGTGCCTGATGTTCTCCTGCATTTGCAGATGATTGCTGGCAGGCTGACTCACGTGATTCGGAGGTGGGTGATTTATAATGAGACCCATGTAATAACAAGTATCTTTACTGCACATGAATTGAGCACACACACAGAAGCATTCACCAGCCGAGGCATCATTGTCCTGAGTGCTCGCACCTAGCAGCGTCATGTTGTCAACTAGGTTACCATCTTGCATCTCAGCAATCTTTTGAGCGAACTATTGAGCAGACTCAAAGGCACATGGCATCATGCAGCAGCACGCCAGGTGCTGCGTTGTTTAGCCGAGTGTGGTTTTCTGTCGAACGCCCCATACAATCGGCAAGCACATGCCAATGCTCTTAGTCAAACTTTCTCGTGTTCCTCTGCCACTTGCTATTCGCGTGTTCAGGGTCGCTTGGCACCGTCTCCTCACTTCTTCCCTTCGGGCATCAAGGCAATTGCGGACTATGTGCACAGCAAGGGGCTCAAGCTGGGCATTTACTCCGACTCTGGGTGAGAGGGGAGTGGATAGAGCTGGTGACATGGGAGCTGGAAACATGGGGGGGATGGACGGAGAGGGAAAGGGGGGGGGGAGGGGCAGGATTCGTCTGCAAAGGCTACTCTCAAATCCATATTATGCTGCCCTATTTTCCCTCCCCTCTCCCCCCGACCCCCTCCCAACAGGAGGCTCACGTGTGAAGGCAAGCCAGGGTCACTTGGGCATGAGGCGATAGACGCCCTCACCTTCGCTGAATGGGTGAGGCATGAGTCTGGGATGAGGCGCTGCCTGGGTGAGGCACGAGATTGGGAAGCAGGAGGTTGTATGAAGCACGAGGTTTCATACAAACTACAACCTTCTACAAGGAGGTGAGGCATGAGCTTGCATGAGGCACAAGGCTGGGTCACGCTACTACAATTGCTGGATCAAGCTGTCCCGAACACTGCATGTCCTCTGAAGTTTCGCATAAGCCTGTCGTGGTAGCTGATGCTTGAAATCTCACATTTGCGTGTCATGGTGTGCCTGGTCACTGGCCATGCGATGTCGAGGAATAGACTACGTCACATGTGCTTGCCATGATGACTGGTGCTTGAAATCTCATTCTTGTGTGCCACGCTGCGCCTGGCATGCTGTGCCTCGTCACTGCCCCATGCGATGTCAGGAAGTGGATTACCTCAAATACGATAGCTGCTATGTGATGAAAATTTAGCTCTGAGAAGTTTTGAATCCAATTGGTTACTATGTACATGCTGTGCCTCGTCACTGTCCCGTGCGATGTTCAGGAAGTGGACTACCTCAAATACGATAACTGCTTCAACGACGGCACTCCAAACAAGATACGGTGTGTGCCCTGTCTGTCTGCCTCGCTCCTGCCGTCCTCTGCTGTCAAATTTACCGCCGCTCATGATTGTGTGTTCTGCTCCTATTCAGTTCCGACGCTGCTGTTCTCGCTTCTCGTCCTAATTATCTATTCTGATCCATTTTCATCCCCTTCCCCTCCCCCCTCCCCCTCATCCATCCCCCTACCTCATCCTCTGCTAATCAATGCCTGTCTATCGACCCTCCCTAGCTACACGACCATGCGCAATGCACTGGAGGCTACTGGGAGGGACATATTCTTCTCCATGTGCGAATGGTGAGTCGAGGCAACCCCACTTAGTCCTCTGCCTGTGCGAATGGTGCATGCATACATGCAGGCAGGCAGGCAGGCAGGCAGGCAGGCAGGCTGCTGTGTTAGACATGCATGCCCACAGCTACGGTGACTACCCACCCATTCACTTGCCTTTACCCACCCACAAGAGCCGTCTCTCTGTGGCTTGCCTTGTGTTATTTAGAATTCTAGAAAACCAGGCTTTTGTGCTGGGTATGCATGCTCAGAGCTACAAGGGCTGCCATGTGTGGAAAGGACCGTGTGTGTGTGGCTTGCCTTGCAACTCCACGTGTCACCTGCCGGTTTTTGAGAATTCTCAAAAACCATCTCACAGCTACAATGGCTGCCCATGCCTTTACCCATCCACAACAAGGGCCGTGTGTGTGTGGCTTGCCTTGCAACTCCACTTGTTGCCTGCCCACCTTTCCACGTGGATTTCGAGATGCAGGGGGCAGGACGACCCTTCCCTGTGGGCGTATGACGTGGCAGACTCCTGGCGCACCACGGTTGACATTGGGGACTCGTGGCGGAGGTGAGGGGGGACACGTGGATGGGGTGTGACGGGACAGGTGCATGAGGTGAGAAGTGACACGTGGATGCAGGGAGGAGAAGGACTCGTGAAGAATGAGGAGAAAAGTGTGTGGAGCAGGATAGGAGAGGAATAAGAACGGGAGAACACTGGTGAGGGGATGGAGAAGGGAATGGCAGGGAGGGGGGAGTGAGAGGGAGTAGTATTGACTGGGGAGCAGAGACTGGGAAAGGACAGGGGAATGTGAGGGAGGAAAAGGTGACTTTATTTCCGTATTTGTGCACTTGTACTGCCTCCAAACTTCTATCCGTGTTTCATGTAACCTCCCTCCCTCCCACCCTCCCTCCCCTCGCACCCTCCCTCCCTGTATGCATGCTCGTGGCACGTGCAGCATGATGCGCATTGCAGACAAAAACAACAAGTGCATGTGCCATCGGTAATGACGCCTTGCCTCCCTGCCTGTGTGCATGCATGTCATACCTGCCTCTTTGCAGCATGATGCGCATTGCAGACAAGAACAACAAGTGGGCCAAATACGCCAGGCCAGGCGGGTGGAACGGTGAGTGCCATTGGAAGGCTCAGTCAAAGGGAGGGATGCTCGACGCCTTTCAAGAGCCAAGGGCCATAATGTGTTCGACAAAAGAAACGTGCCATATAAAGTAGGAGTTTGGAAGCGTGAAGCTGCCAAGAACATCTAACTGCGACTCTTCTCTTACGTCAACCCATGCTTGCTAGTCGGACCCCATTACAGCTACGAATTCCCCCCTGTTTGATCTCTCATCATGTTCTCCTACTTGCATACGTGCTTGAATTGGCGTCACACAAGTATTTTGCTCCTGGCTCCACCCCCCCTCTGCTCCTGCTCTCCCCGCCCTCCACCCACTCCTGACCCTTCAACCCCGGTTTTCAGACCCGGACATGCTGCAGATGGGGAACGGATACTCTCTCATTCCTCCTATCCCAACTCTGCCGTTGCTCTTCCTCACCCACCACCCTTGACAGACCCGGACATGCTACAGGTGGGGAATGGCGGCATGAGGGATTCGGAGTATCGTGTGCACTTCAGCCTCTGGGCCATCATGAAGGTGATTAACGTTTCTTCATTTTTGTATATATATGTATATATATGTATATGTATGTATATGTATGCATGTATGTATGTATATGTGTGTATATATGTAGACATGTATATTTGTCTGCACGCATGTATGCATGCATCCATGCATACATACATACATACATACATACATACATACATACATACATACATACATACATACATACATACATACATACATACATACATACATACATACATACATACATACATTCATACATTCATACATACATACATACATACATACATACATACATACATACATACATACATACATACATACATACATACATACATACATACATACATACATACATACATACATACATACATACAAACATACATACATACATACATACATAATCGATTCACCAGTCATCTTACAGTCGACCCAACAGTCACCTCCCAGATCTTGCATGTGCGCTTCTTTTTCATTTCTGGTCTCCAGTTCCGACAGTTGACATGCGCAGAGAATCTAGTTTGAATTTATTCCTCTATTCAAACCTCACACCCTCCCACCAGGCACCACTCCTGATTGGCTGCGATCTCTCGGTTGTATCAAATAAGACGTTGGCCATTCTGGGAAATGAAGAGGTTATTGCTCTCAACCAGGGTATGTTCTCTTGCCGCTGCTTGTGCATGCTACCGCGTCACTCAATTCATGCAATTTATGTCCTGCCTGCTGATGTCATGCAACTTAGCGGGCCTGCCAATGGTACCCCATCATAAGCTCAGCGATGGTGTTTCACCAACTCCTGTACTTGCTCACACGTCTCATGCTCTGATTGGTGCAGACCCACTGGGCGTTCAGGCAAGGAAGGTGCAAGTCTCTGAAGATTCTTTCATGGAGGTTAGTAAATCAGATCCGAGCGTATCACATCGGACTAGGTTAAAGCAAATCAAATTAAAGCGAATGAAATCAGATCAGAACAAGTCCCCTGCAGCAAGTATGTGGGCTCGGATGGGTATGGCCCATCAGAAGCGGTCAGGTGCCTCCCTAGTTAGCAGGTGCTTCCATTTGAGGCACCAAGTAAACAACCAGCAGCTGTTGTAGCCACTCACAGCATCACGGTTCATATTACTGCCCTTCCCCCATGCGTCCTGGTTTGGTCTTGGAACCTGCAGGTTTGGTCCGGGCCTCTGTCGGAGGGTCGGCTGGTGGTAGCTCTGGTGAATCGCAGCCCAATCAGCTTGAAGATCACTGCCCGATGGAAAGCCATGGGGCTGAATCCTGTGCAGCGGATGTATGCACGAGACCTGTGGAAGGTACGTGGCTTGATAAAAGGTGTGGCTTTCGGTTGACTACAAACTCCAGTGCAGTGGATGCATGCACGAGACCTGTGGAAGGTACGTGACTTGATAAAGGGATTGGTTCTAGGTCGACTAAAGAATCTGGTGCAGCTGATGTACGCATGAGATCTTAGGAAGATGGATGTCTCCATAGCAAGTCTCTCTGGAAGACCTTCCCTGCCTGTTTCCCTCCCTTCTCCATCCACACTCTTGCGCTTCTGTGCATAACTGCACTTGGTGAGGGTGGGTACTTGCATTTGCATACACACTTGCTCATGCACGCATGGAGTCGTGCTTGCGCTCACACAAACACATGCACACAAAGACATACACACTCGCTCATTCTCTCGCACACACACACACGTACATGCACACATATACACATACATGTGTGCAAGCAGATGCGCAAGTGCACACACGCACATACACTCACACACACATATACTCACACACATACATGCAGACTTACAAGTTACATCCCATGATGCATCTACCACACTGCAGAAGGCAACTATGGACTATGTCGTTTCAGTGTAGCTGAGCACATGAGCGTGTGCACAGCTCACACACACACGCTCACTCACGCGCACACACACTCTTACACTAACTCACACACGCACGAACACTTTCACTCACGCACGCACCCACGCACGCACACTCACACTCACTCACTCACACACACACACACACACACACACACACACACACACACGCACACCCACACCCACACCCACACCCAGAGTCATTTCTCTCCATCCCATCCTGTGTTGCATCTCCCACACTGCAGAAGGCAACTATGGACTCGGTCATTCCAGGGGAGCTGAATACCCCCACACCCCCAATTCCCTCCCCTTTCCCCCTCCCCTTCCCCCTTCCCCTTTCCCCTCCCCCCACAACCCCCACACACGTGTCAACTATCATTTGTCCCCACCCCGTGCTGCATCGCCCACACTGCAGAAGGCAACTATGGACTCGGTCATCTCAGGGGAGCTGAGTGCGCCAGTTCCAAGCCACGATGTGGGGCTCTTCCTCCTCTGGCCCGCAGTCTAGCGCAGAACTCAATGCAGTGCAAGCCACAATGTGGGGCTCTTCCTCCTCTGGCCCGCAGTCTAGCGCAGAACTCAATGCAGTGCAAGCCACAATGTGGGGCTAGTTCTTCCTTTTCCTGCGGTGTAGATTCACGTGGTGCTGGGAAAAAAATTATGGGGAGAATATCTTATTTCTGTATGCTGCCAGTACTCTCTACTGCACACAGTTATTAGATTGCGTTGCGTTTCATTCAACATTTAAGAGGCATTGTTCAAACAAGGTTGTAACACGTCGTCTAACGAAGACATCGAGATTTTGAAGGCGGGTTGGTCATACACTGGTCTGCAGTGAAAAGTTTGCAGCCAATCACATATTGCCACCAAAACTGACGAGTCGTCCATGCTGTTTTGTCTCGACATTTGGTTACTTTCAAACCTAAAATCTGCCCGCATGAACTCCTGGTTCTCCCAGGTTTGGGGGCACCACAACTACTACAGCTCAATGTAAGGATTTCCGTGAGGAGCTTCAGAGCCGTCGATTTCCGCTTCGGAACCTACCAGACACTCTGCGCCTCCCGTCCCGCTGCTTATTCCACAAACTTCGAGACGGGAAAGCAGTGCCGCATGCTACCCTCGATTGGGCAGGACAAGCTATCGGTACCGTCCATCTCCGCCTGGATCAGGTTGAAACCCCCCAAACAGTGGAGTCGCGACAACTGCCGACTCAGTAACCTGATGACACGAGTCGCCAATGAAAAGTAACTCACATTTTTGCGTTTATAAGTCTTTCGTCAAACTATTTCGCGCATACTCGTTTTCGCGCAACAACACCCTCGAAATCTCCTCCCCCACGACCACCACCTTCTCCACCGCTTCCATGGCCGCCCTTCCCCCGTCTGTCCCCTGTACCACTTGCTTGCATCCGTGCCAGCTTCAGCATCCTCCCTCTGCGGTCCCCGCTTCTGTCTGCTTATGCCGTTTTTTCAGTGCACCACGAGACACTTCACGCGACCTCACTCACTCGTGCAGAGCGTGTTCTAGTAGCCGAGATTTGAGTGATCGGTTCTCAGCTTCCCTCCTTGCCGTTTCTGGTTAGTAGGTTGCCGTATTCGAGCCGTCCTCGTTTTGGTGTCTTCTTACAGTAAAAGCATCTTGTTACTTCTTAGTGTTCAGGCCGTCGCGATTCCTCCCTCCCCCCCCCCTCCCCCCCCACCCCCCTTCCTTTTTTCTCGAGCGAATTTGTCCTAGAACAGTTCCGTTGAACAGCTTAGCCGTTGAACCCTTTTAGACTGCATCGTTCTCCGACAATGGATGATCAAAGGAGCTCCCGACAACTCATCGCACTCCTTCCCCTCGGACTCAAGGGTTCAGTCTAGCTTGAGTATGTGTTCCGCCTAGAGAAGCAGTCAGTCCCAACAAATTCGCCGGAACGTAGTTGTTTCTGACGCTTCACGCCAGCGTAGTCCAAACAGCTTTCGTGTGTAGATTTGCGAAGCAGTTACTCACCTCGACAGCCGCCTTTCGTTTCTCTCAGGAGTTGCCACGTCGTTCTAGCCATGCGAAACTCAAATCGATCGCGACCACTCTGACGGACAAGCTGGCGTGTTTCCCGGATCATGAGTCCGGGCTTGCCGCTTGCTGATCCGCACGTTGGCGGCGGCGGCGGCAGTGGCTGCGGTGCGGCTGCTTCGTCTGGAGGTGCCGCGGTTCGCGCCGCGATTCCCGGCGCAATTTCTGGCGTAGGAAACGGCGGTTTGGGTGCGGAAGCAGCCGCTCTGGAGCAGCACGACGGGAGTCAAGCAGCGGCTGCGGCGGTTGCTGCTGCGGCTGCTGCCGCTGCGGCGGCGGCGGCGGCTGGGGGATGGATGTTGCTCCCTTCAGCGGGTTCTCTTCATAATCACCCCGCGTTACTATCACCTGCTGCAGCGTCCGTGCAGCACAATCACTTACTCGCCTCGTTAAAGTCAATCGCAGGAATCCCTGGACTCTCGCCTGTCGGTGCATCTCAACCGTCCATCTCCCTATCGCACGGTCACTTGCCGTTCCCATCCCCTTACGCTGGTAACGCCGCGGCGTTAATTCCGTTTCTACCTCCCGGCGCTCATCATCCAATAAGCAACCTCCACATCAGCGGCGGCGCGCAAGGGTTGAATCACAGCGCTTTAGGTAACCCACTATTTGCGTCGTTAGGAGGCTCTAGCGCTTCGACCGCATCTGGACAGGCTTTAATTCCCATGCAAGCCCCTGTCATGCCCACACATCCCGGTTTCCCGAGCAACGGTTTTGTCTCGTCTCACTTCGACCCTGCTGCCGCCGCCGCCGCCGCCGCAGCCGCCGCTGCCGCCGCCGCTGCAGCAGCGACATACCCGCAACCAGTTTCCGCGTCGCTCCCCGTCGCAGGTGCCGTTTCCGCCGCCGCCGCTAACGGCGCAGGCGGTTTAATCCCTTCTGCGGCCATCGCCGCCCCCGCCACCGCCGCGTCCGCCGCCGCCGCCGCCGCAGCCGCGGCGGCGGGACGGCTTAGTGCCGTGAAGGATCCGTTAGGGTATGCGGCTATGCTTAGGTCTCGGGGGAAAGTTAACGAAGCGCTCGCGATATACGAGGCGATTATAGCGGAGAGAATAGGAGCAGCTGTGACTATGACGAGGGGAAATGGAACGGGCAGCGGAGCGGGGACATTAGGAGGGGCCGCGAGCGCGGGGGAAGGGGGAGCGGGAGCGGGCGGGGGAGGGGCGGGCGGGGCCGCGGCCGCCGCGACGGCGGAGGCGCTAGTGGGGAAGGGGCAGTGTTTGCAGGCGCAGGGGAAGCTTAGCGCGGCGTTTGAGGCGTACGTGTCCGCGTTACAGCTGAATCCGACACACGCTGTAGCGTTGACGCAGTGCGGAGTGCTGTACAAAGAGGAGGGGCACTTGCTAGAGGCTATAGAGGTGCGTGGGGGGAGGGGGAGGGGAAAGAGGAGCGGGGAAAGGTGGGGGGAGAGGAGTTGGGGTGGTGGTTGAGGTGAGAGGAGAGATGGGGAGGGGAGTGGAGAGGTGATAGAGGTGCATGGGGGGAGGGGGAGGGGCAGCTGTGAGAGGTGATAGAGGTGCGTGAGGGGGAGAAGGGGAAAGCGGAGCGTGGAGAGGTGAGGGGAGAGAAGTGAAATTGTGATTGAGGTAAGTGGGGGGAGCGGGAGGAGGGGACGAGGTGATCAAGGTGAGTGGGGGGATGTGAGGGAGAGGGGAGAGGGGATTGAGTTGAGTGGGTGAGGAGGAAAAGGAGGGAGGAGAGGAGGGGAGAGGAGGGGAGAGGAGGGTGATAAGAGGGAAGAGGAGGCGGAGAGGAGGGGAAGGGGAGGAGAGGTTTTAGGTGAGTGGGTGAGGAGGGAGAGGGGAGTGAGGGGGGAGAGGGGAGTGAGGGGGGAGAAGGAGAGAGTCGTGGAGAGAGAAAGGACGGGGAGAGGAGGAGCGGAGGGAGAGGTGGGAAGGGAAAGGAGGGGGAGAGGAGGGTGTGAGAAGGGGGAGAGGAGGAAGAGGAGGAAGGGGAGAGGAGGAGGGTAGGAGAGAGTGGGGGAGAGGTGGGAACGAGGGCGGCTTTGCTGCTTGCAGACCTGGGCACGCACACGCCTCAAGCTGCAAGCGATCGTGCCTGCTTGTGATGCTCCCACCCACCCACCCACTGTAGATCAGCGATCGTGCCTGCTTGAGACGTCTCCAAAATCACTTATCTACACGTGGCTTGTGATGCTCCCACGTGATTGAAGAAGTGTTTTATGACGTCTCAAAACACTTCTTCAATCACGTCACTTATCTACACGTGGCTTGTGATGCTCCCACGTGATTGAAGAAGTGTTTTGTGACGTCTCAAAACACTTCTTCAATCACGTCACTTATCTACACGTGGCTTGTGATGCTCCCACGTGACTGAAGAAGTGTTTTGACACGTCTCAAAACACTTTTTTAATCACGTCACTTATCTACACGTGGCTTGTGATGCTCCCACGTGATTGAAGAAGTGTTTTGTGACGTCTCAAAACACTTCTTCAATCACGTCACTTATCTACACGTGGCTTGTGATGCTCCCACGTGACTGAAGAAGTGTTTTGTGACGTCTCAAAACACTTCTTCAATCACGTCACTTATCTACACGTGGCTTGTGATGCTCCCACGTGACTGAAGAAGTGTTTTGTGACGTCTCAAAACACTTCTTCAATCACGTCACTTATCTACACGTGGCTTGTGATGCTCCCACCCACCCATCCACTGTTCCTTCCTCTCCCACCACCCCACAACCCCCCTCGTCTCAACCCCCCTTCTCCTCCTCCTAACTTCCCGCCTCCCTCTTCCCCACCTCCATTTACCCCCCTCAGGCGTACAGAAAGGCGCTAGAGGCGGATGCGGGGTGCAAGGAGGCACAGGAGCAGCTGGCGGTGGTGCTCACAGACCTGGGCACGCGCCTTAAGAGGCTGCAAGGGAGCCTGCTGCTGCTGACACGATACCCCACTGCCCTTTCCCCCATTCCCCCAGGCGTACAGAAAGGCGCTAGAGGCGGATCCGGGGTGCAAGGAGGCACAGGAGCAGCTGGCAGTGGTGCTCACAGACCTGGGCACGCGCCTCAAGCTGGGGGGTTCCGTGCAGGAGGGCATAGCGAAATATTATGAGGCTATTGCTGCCGACCAGAGATATGCGGTAAGATGCGGTTCAGTGCGGTTGTGTGCGGTTCAGTGCATTGGTATGCGGTGGAAAATGGTGGTAAGGAGGCACAGTAGCAGCTTCCAGTGGTGCTCACAGACCTGGGCACGCGCCTCAAGCTGGGGGGTCCGTGCAGGAGGGGATTGCCAAGTACTACGAGGCCATTGCTGCCGACCAGAGATACGCGGTAAGATGCGGTTCAGCGGGGTGGTATGTGGTGGATTTTGGTGGGTGGTATGCAGTGGTATGGGGTGGTATGCGGTGTGTGACATTTCAATCAGCGCCTCAAGTTGGGGGTGTCCGTGCAGGAGGGCATAGCCAAGTATTATGAGGCTGCTGCTTTTACTGACCAGAGATACGCAATGAGATGCAGTTCAGTGCGGTGGTATGGGGTGGTGTATGGTAAGGCGTTTTAATTAGCGCCTCAAGCTGGGGGGTTCCGTTCAGCAGGGCATAGCCAAGCAAGCACCACTAGGCCATTGCTTCCAACCAGAGATACGCGGTGAGGAGAGGTTGTTTTCACAGCGGTGAGGAGAGGTTGTTTTCACAGCGGTGAGGAGAGGTTGTTTTCACAGCGGTGAGGAGAGGTTGTTTTCACAGCGGTGAGGAGAGGTTGTTTTCACAGCGGTGAGGAGAGGTTGTTTTCACGGCGCTGCATTCTCCCCCACCCACCCCTGTCCCTAGACTCGTTCTCTCACTCCCCACCCTTCTCTCGCCCTTCCCCCCCATCCAGCCGGCGTACTGCAACCTAGGGGTGGTGTATTGGAAGACGGGGCAGTGCGAGGCAAGCATGCATTCACAGTGCGAGGCAAGCATGCATTCACAGTGCGAGGCAAGCATGCATTCACAGTGCGAGGCAAGCATGCATTCACAGTGCGAGGCAAGCATGCATTCACAGTGCGAGGCAAGCATGCATTCACAGTGCGAGGCAAGCATGCATTCACAGTGCGAGGCAAGCATGCATTCACAGTGCGAGGCAAGCATGCATTCACAGTGCGAGGCAAGCATGCATTCACAGTGCGAGGCAAGCATGCATTCACAGTGCTGCATTCTCCCACCCACGCCCCTGTCCCCTGCTGCCCACACATGTCGCCCTCCACCCGTGTCCCCGGCATACTACAACCTAGGGGTGGTGTATTCGGAGATGGGGCAGTACGGGGTGGCCCTTCAGTTCTACCACAAGGCAGTGGCGCTCAGGCCGCTCTATGCAGAGGGGTGCCCTGTCCCCCCCGTCCCGCCTGTTCCCCAATCCCTTGTCCCCTGTCCTTGACCCCTATCCCCCCAATCCCTTGTCCCCTGTCCTTGACCCCTATCCCCCCAATCCCTTGTCCCCTGTCCTTGACCCCTATCCCCCCAATCCAGCCGGCATACTACAACCTAGGGGTGGTGTATTCAGAGATGGGGCAGTACGAGGCGGCTCTGCAGTTCTATGACAAGGCAGTGGCGCTCAGGCCGCTCTATGCAGAGGCGCATTGCAACATGGGCGTGATCTATAAGAACTGCGGCGATTTACACTCGGCTATCGCCTGTTATGAGCGGTGGGTGGTTGGTGTCTAAGGGGGCGTGGCGTGGGTACCAGTGGGCGGGCATGCATGCAATGTAAGGGGGGCGCTTTTTGAGACGTCTCAAAACACATTTACACTCGGCTGTTGCCTGTTATGAGCGGTAAGTGGGTGGTGTCTAAGGGGGTGTGGCGTGGGTACCAGTGGGCGGGCATGCATGCATGCAAGGGGGCCGCTCAGGCTGCTCTATGCGGAGGCGCAGTGCAACATGGGCGTGATCTACAAGAACTGCGGCGATTCACACTCTGCTATCGCCTGTTATGAGCGGTGGGTGCCTGGTTTGGGGGGGCGTGGCGTGTGTACCAGTGGGCGGGCATGCATGCAATGGGGCCGCTCAGGCCGCTCTATGCGGAGGCACATTGCAACATGGGTGCCATTTACAAGAACTGCGGCGATTTACATTCAGCTATTGCTTGCTACGAGTGGTAAGTGGGTGGGGGGATACCAGGGGATGCGTGCAGAGGAGGCGCATCCCAGGGGATACCTCTGCACGCATCCCCCCACCCACTCGCATCCCAGGGGATACCTCTGCACGCATCCCCCCACCCACTCGCATCCCAGGGGATACGTTCAGAGGAGGCGCTCAGGCCGCTCTATGCCGAGGCGCATTGCAACATGGGGAGAGTGAGTGGTAATACCACTCTCTCAACCTCACGTTCCGTTCACCCCCACACGTTCCAATAAAACCCCCACATTCTATTCACCCCCCCTCGTTCCTATCACCGCCTGACACTCCCCCACCCATCCACATTCCCTCAACCCTCCACGTCCTCCCCGCCGCCCCCTGCATTCTCCCATCCACCTCCATCATGGCAGGAGCTGCCTCCCTGGTGCTCTTTTCCCATTCCCCTACTTCTTTGCGTTTCCCCTGCTTCCCTCCCCCCTTTCCCCCCTCTTTCCTCGCCATCAGGTGTCTCGCAATGGCTCCCAACTTCACCATTGCGCGCATCAGCATGGCCATTGCTCTCACCTAACCCTTTGCCGTCCCCCACCGCCCTGCTGTTCCCGCCTTCCCTCCCCCTCCTCCCTTCCCACGACCACCCATTCCTTCCTGGCGCAACTTTTGAGTCGACTCAAAAAGTCACCTCCTTCCCACGACCACCCATTCCTTCCTGGCGCAACCAGGTGTCTGGCAGTGGCGCCCAACTTCACCATCGCGCGCATCAACATGGCCATTGCTCTCACTGACCCCTCTGCTGTTCCCCACCCCCTTGTTGTGCCCACCTCCCCCCCCCCCACACTCTCTTCCCCCACCACCTCTGCCGCCACCAGGTGTCTGGCGGTGGCGCCTAATTTCACCATTGCGCGCAACAACATGGCCATCGCTCTCACCCTCACCAAACCCCTTGCTCCCCCCCCCCCTCTCTTCCCCACACCACCTCCCCTTTCTTGCCGCAACCAGGTGTTTGGCAGTGGCGCCTAATTTCACCATCGCGCGCAACAACATGGCTATTGCTCTCACTGACCTGGGAACCAAGGTATGGTGGGTAGGGAGGGCCGAGATGTAGGTGGGGGGGAGGGGGGTGGAGGAAGGGATTTTGGAGGGAAGATCAAGTGGCATGAACAGCCACAGGGAGCAACCTTGCCATTGCTCTCACCGACCTGGGCACCAAGGTATGGGGCCGGGAGGGAAGGTGGACGTTGACATGTGGACAGGTGTACGTAGCATTTGATTCGACTCAAAAGCAGACTTTTGAGTCAACTCAAAAGCCACAGGGAGCAACATTGCCTTCGCCCTCACCGACCTGGGCACCAAGGTACGGCGGGAGGGAAGGTGGACGTTGACAGGTGAACAGGTTTACGTAGCAGCAGCACTACGAGCATGGTATCTCGTTCACATATTTCCCCTCAAAACCCCCTCTCCCTCCCCCCCACCCCGTTCTTCCCACAGGTGAAGCTCGAGGGCGACATATCAGCGGGCGTGGCGCACTACAAGCGGGCGCTGCTGTTCAACTCTCATTACGCCGATGCCATGTACAACCTGGGGGTGGCTTACGGGGAGATGCTCAAGTTCGACATGGTGAGTGAGTGAGTGAGCGAGTGAGTGAGTGAGCGAGTGAGTGAGTGAGTGAGTGAGTGAGACCACGTGCAAGTGCATATGCGCGCAGACGAATTTGCATGTTTGCACACGCATACAACCCTCATGTATTGCCTGGGCGCACTACAAGCGGGCGATGCTGTTCAACTCGCACTACGCCGATGCCATGTACAACCTGGGGGTGGCCTATGGCGAGATGCTCAAGTTCGACATGGTGAGACCACATGCACATGAATGCACACATATTCATGTGCACAGACAGGCGTGCATGCCTGCACACACATACAACCCCTGTACTGCCTGGCTGCACTACAAGCGGGCGCCGCTGTTCAACTCGCACTACGCCGATGCCATGTACAACCTATGTACAACCTAGGGGTGGCCTATGGGCAGATGCTCAAGTTTGATATGGTAAGTGAGACCACATGTGCCATTCACATGAGCATGCACATACACATGTGCAGCCTGGGCACTTGGATGGGATACATGTAAAATCTGGCTGGAGTGGCGCACTACGAGCGAGCACTGCTCGCACTACGCCGATGCCATGTACAACCTGGGGGTGGCTTACGGGGAGATGCTCAAGTTTGACATGGTGAGTGAGAACACATGAATATGTATGCACATATGTACACGTATGCATATGTGCACACACAGCGCAGGTACACCCTGGGCTTGGCTTATGGTGAGATGCTGAAGTTCGAATTTGTGAGTGAGACGTGAACACACACACACACTTGAGTCCTCTTTAGCTGTGCAATTCAATCCACAGTGCACGGAGGCATGCAACATCTTGATAGTCGTCTACAATGACTCAGAGTGGCTCCCGAGGATCAACTCAACCTGACAGACAACCCTTTTACCACGTACGTACACACCCCTTTCCCCCTGGCTCCCTCCTTTGCCCTGTCCGCCACCTGCCCTATTCCAGGCAGTGGTGATTTACGAGCTAGCCCTGCACGTTCATTCTGGGGGTGATATACAAGGACAGAGACAACCTGGACAAGGCGGTGGTATGCTACCAGGAGGCGCTGCTCATACCATCCAAACCTCTCCCTCCTGCTCTTCCCTTGGTTCCTCCCCTCTGTGCTTTCCAATGCCTCTCCCACTCCAGGCAGTGGTGATGTACGAGTTAGCGCTGCATTTCAACCCACAGTGCGCCGAAGCGTGCAACAACCTGGGGGTGATATACAAGGACAGAGACAACCTGGACAAGGCCGTGGAGTGGAGTGCTACCAGAAGGCTCAACCTCTGTGCATACCCACTCCCCACTCCCCACTCCCCACTCCCCACTCCCCACTCCCCACTCCCCACTCCCCACTCCACCCGATTCCAGGCAGTGGTGATGTACGAGTTGGCCCTACACTTTAATCCGCAATGCGCCGAGGCGTGCAACAACCTGGGGGTGATATACAAGGACCGTGATAATCTAGACAAGGCGGTGGAGTGCTACCAGAAGGCGCTGCGCATCAAACCCTCCTTCTCCCAGTCGCTCAACAACCTGGGGGTTGTTTACACCGTGCAGGTGGGTGGGTGGGTGGGTGGGTGGGTGTGTGGTTGTTAGCAGCAGCAGCAGAAGCAGCAGAAGCAGTGGCAGCAGTGGCAGCACGAGCAAGGGCGGGAGAACAAGGAGTGAGGTGCATGGTGGCAGCAAGCGACCTAGACAAGGCGGTGGAGTGCTATCAGAAGGCGCTGCGCATCAAGCCCAGCTTCTCCCAGTCGCTCAACAACCTGGGGGTTGTTTACACCGTGCAGGTGAGAGTGCTGGTGTGTGGCTTGTGATTGGTCGTTAGCAGCAACAGCAGCACCTGCTGCAGCCATCACATCAGCAGCACCTGCTGCAGCCATCACATCAGCAGCACCTGCTGCAGCCATCACATCAGCAGCGCACCTGCTGCAGCCATCACATCAGCAGCACCTGCTGCAGCCATCACATCAGCAGCACCTGCTGCAGCCATCACATCAGCAGCACCTGCTGCAGCCATCACATCAGCAGCAGCACCTGCTGCAGCCATCACATCAGCAGCACCTGCTGCAGCCATCACATCAGCAGCACCTGCTGCAGCCATCACATCAGCAGCACCTGCTGCAGCCATCACATCAGCAGCACCTGCTGTTGTCCTCTGCGTGCCGTGCCGTGCCGTGCCGTGGGTGCCCCCATGCACACCTCTCCCATCCCTCCACTTTCTGAACATGATTCAAGCCCCCCCCCTTAGTTCCATGCTTTTCACACCTTCCCACCTCTCCCTCTCGACCTCGAGAGAACTCCTTTCCCATCTTCCCTCTTCCTCTCTCCTCCACTTTCCTCCTCAGCACAAATTAGACCAGCCGCTGAGCATCATTCAATCCGCCTCACTTTAACCTCTCCCACCCATCCCTCATCACCTTGACCAAGATGGATCTAGCACTCTACATGATTCAAGCCGTTATGGCTCCCAACCTCCCCCATCCACACCTCCCTCTCCTCCCCCCTTTGCACCCAGGGTAAGATGGATCTAGCACTCTACATGATTCAAGCCGTTATGGCTCCCAACCTCCCCCATCCACACCTCCCTCTCCTCCCCCCTTTGCACCCAGGGTAAGATGGATCTAGCACTCTACATGATTCAAGCCGTTATGTTTTCCAACCTCCCCCACACCCCATCCCCCCTTCCCGCCTCCCCCCTCCCTCCCTTTCAGGGCAAGATGGACCTAGCGCTCAACATGATTCAAGGTGTAATGGTTCCCACTCTCACCCACTTTTGAGGCGCCTCAAAAGGCGCTCAACATGATTCAAGGTGCAATGGTTCCCACTCTCACCCACACTCCCCCTTCCTCCACCCCCATTCCCACCCACAACACACCACCCACACCCCCTCGCAGGGCAAGATGGACCTAGCACTCAACATGATTCAAGCCGCTGATGATTCCCAATCTTCCCACCACTCCCCCTTCCTCCCCCCCCACCCCCACAACACATCACCCACCCCCAATCGCAGGGCAAGATGGACCTAGCACTCAACATGATTCAAGCCGCCATTCTCGCCAACCCCGCATATGCAGAGGCATACAACAACCTGGGTGAGGGGTTGAGAGGGAAAGAGGGAGGGTTTGAGAGGAAGGGGGGCCGAGGGGGTGTGTGCGGGGTTAGTTTAGGCGGGTAACAGGCGTCGGGCGCATGTGGGGAGCGTTCAGTGCAGAGGCGCCTTAAAAGTATCCTGCTCGGAGCCCTGTGAGTCAATTTTAGAGGCGAATTTCCTGTCATACTACCCAACAAGAAATGTAAATGTTTTTCTAGAGACAAATTTAGGGGATTTCTCGTGAGTCAGTTATGTATGTTGTTTGTATTGTGGTCGTCCCCTCCTTTGCTATCCACGCAGGTGTGTTGCATTTTTGAGTCGACTCAAAAGTCAACTCGGTATAATGTCACACGGTATTTTCTCGTGAGTCAGTCATGTGTGTTGTTTGTGTTGTGGTCGTCCCCTGCTATCCACGCAGGTGTGTTGCACAGGGACGCGGGCAACATCCCAGCAGCCATAGAGGCGTACCAGCAGTGCCTTGCCATCGATCCCGACTCTAGAAATGCCGGGCAGGTGAGTGTCAATGTCTTACGGGCCATGTCCCTGCTTACTCGGCTGTGCTGTGCTGCCCAGAAGAAGGTGGTTCCGTGCTCCTCCTTTGTTGCTGCAGCCATAGAGGCGTACCAGCAGTGCCTAGCCATTGATCCCGACTCTGGAAATGCCGGCCAGGTGAGATATATTTTCGAATTCTGTGGAAAAAACTCACAGTTACCAACTTAGGTGTGCCAGGCCTTCTGCTCGCTTAGCAGTGCTGCACTGCCTGCCGTTTCTGGAGCCCTTATCTTTGTTGCTGCTGCCGTTTGTACCCTTCACCCTTATCCAGATTTCTTCTGCTTCCCTTAGTTGCTGCTGTCCCCACTCCTCCCTCTCCCCTCCCCCCCTCTTTCTTTCCCTCACCAGAAGTGTCTACTGGCAATGAACTATATTCACGATGGGCTGGATGACTCACTGTTTCCTCCCCTGTGTTGCTGTTGTCGCCATTCGTTCCCCCCTCACCCCACTTACCCTTTTCCTTTTGCTCCCCCTCTCCCCCCTACCCTTTTCCTTTTGCTCCCCCTCCCCCTTCTACATCAGAACCGTCTACTAGCAATGAACTATATTCACGATGGGCTGGACGACTCACTGTTCGCTGCTCACCGGTAAGGAGCGGTTGTTAGCGGTTGAGAGGTTGACAGTCGAGAGGTCGATGGAGGGAGGGAGGGAGGAAGGGGGAGAGGAGGGACGGGGAGAGGAGGGAGGGGAGAGGAGGGAGGGGGAAACGGATTGCTCATGGCTTCGTGCTCTCTTCACCGTTTTCTATGTATGTGATGCCATCCTACCTTCCTCCCATCCTCCTTCCTTCCCCCCCACCCTCCGCGTCTTCCCCCACCCACTGTTCTCTCTTCCCCCACCCACTGTTCTCTCTTCACACCTCTGTCATGCCCCACCCAAACCCTTACTTTCCCCCACCTCGAGTCGAGCCCATCCCTTTCCTCCCCCCACCTCCTCCCCAACCGCCATCATCCCTGGGACTGGGGCGAGCACTTCTCACGTGTAGGGAGGGTGTTTTTGAGACGTCGCAAAAGCACCGTCATCCCAGGGACTGGGGCGAGCGCTTCTCACGCCTCTTTCCCCGATTCTCCTCGTGGCCCAACTCGTGCCCGGCGAGCTCTGTTCTCCTTTGAACCTGAAACTTGTCCCTCTCCTTCCTCTTCACCCCTCCTGTGACTTATTCCAGGGACTGGGGCGAGCGCTTCTCGCGCCTCTTCCCGCGCTTCTCCTCGTGGCCCAACTTGTGCCGGCCGGACCGGAGGTTGGTGGTGGGGTACATATCGCCTGACTACTTCACGCACTCCGTCTCCTACTTCATTGAAGCCCCCTTGACTTACCATGACCCGAATGTGGTCAAAGTGGTGGTTTACTCTGCTGTGGTGAAGGTGAGTGAGTCAACGCGAGTCAGTGGGCTGGGCTTAATGGGATGAACGGGATCGCAGGCTGGTGGTGGGGTACATATCGCCCGACTACTTCACCCACTCCGTCTCCTACTTCATTGAGGCGCCCTTGACTTACCACGACCCGAATGTGGTCAAAGTGGCGTGTGGCGGGGCATATTCGGGGTGGACGAGCGGCGGGTGGCAGCCATGGTGCGGGAAGATGGAGTAGGTATTCTCGTGGAGCTCACAGGGGCACACACCGCCTCACTCACACGCCTCCCTGCCCTTTCTTCTCTGCTTCCTTCCCCTCCTCCCCACCTCCTTCCCCTCCCCCCCACCTCCTTCCCCTCCCCCCCGCCTCCTTCCCCTCCCCCCCGCCTCCTTCCCCCCCCCCCCACCTCCTTCCCCTCCCCCCCACCTCCTTCCCCTCCCCCCCGCCTCCTTCCCCTCCCCCCCGCCTCCTCCGCTTCCCTTCTCCTCCCATTCCCTTCCTTCCTGTCAGGCGGACGGCAAGACGAGTCGGTTCAAGGAAGCAGTGCAGAGCAAGGGCGGGGTGTGGCGGGACATATTCGGGGTGGACGAGCGCCGCGTGGCAGCCATGGTGCGGGAGGACGGCGTGGACATTCTCGTGGAGCTGACAGGGCACACGGCCAACAACCGGCTGGGCGTGATGGCATGCAAGGCAGCGCCCATCCAGGCCACGTGGATTGGGTATCCGAATACCACCGGGCTGCGAGCGATTGACTACCGCCTGACTGACGCCTTGGCTGATCCCCCCAGCAGCAGCCAGAGGTAGAGTCCTTCTTCTCCCTACTAGCACCATCCAGGCCACGTGGATCAGTCGGATATCCCAACACCACCACCGGGCTGCGGGCTATTGACTACCGGCTGACTGACGGCCTCGCCGACCCTCGTAGCAGCTCCCAGAGGTAGGGTTAAGACCCGCACTCTCCCGCTCAGCACCCATCCAGGCCACATAGATCAGTCGGGTATCCCAACACCACGAAGCTAAGATCGATTGACTACCGGCCGACTGATGCATTGGCTAATCCCCCCAGCAGCACCCAGAGGTAGGGGTCTTGGGTTGGGTCCACTTCCCTCTCCCAGCAGCACCCAGAGGTAGGAATCCGCTCTCCCCATCCAGGCCACGTGGATCGGATTGGTTAACCCACCCCAACCAACACCACCAGGCTGAGAGCCGTTGGCTACCGCTTCCCATTCACTGATTCCCTTGCGGATTCCTCCCCCCTCCAGCACCCAGCGGTAGGAAAGGAACCAACCCCCCGCTTCCCCCATTCCAGCATCATACAACAAAGGCTTCCCTGGCTCGGGAAGCCTGGATGGGCATTCACCCCCAAGACCAAGGCACCCCTCCCACCCCTGGCCAGCCTTCGTTTGTTGCCCACAGACCGTGCAGGAGTTGTTGCCCCTTTTGAGATGCTTCCTCTGCCTCACATTCTCATCACCCCTATGGCCCTCCCTTACCTCTCCCCGTTTTCTTCTTTCCCTACATCCCTCCCCCCTCTCCCCATCTCCCCCCTCTCCCCCTCTCCCCCTCTCCCCCTCTCCCCCTCTCCCCCTCTCCCCTCTCTCTCCCCCTCTCCCCCTCTCCCCCTCTCCCCCCCTCTCCCCCTCTCCCCCTCTCCCCTCTCTCTCCCCCTCTCCCCCTCTCCCCCCTTCTCCCCTTTTCCCCTCCTCTCCCCCTCTCCCCCTCTCCCATCCTCTCCCCCTCCTCCCCTTTTCCACTCACAGGCATGTAGAGGAGTTGGTGCGCCTTCCAGGATGCTTCCTCTGCTACACCCCATCATCTGAAGCGGGGCCGGTGTCCCCCTCGCCTGCGGTGGCCAATGGCTTTGTGACGTTTGGCAGCTTCAACAACCTTGCCAAGGTACAACGAAGTGCAGCGGTGCAGTGCAGGGCAGTGCAGTGCGGTGCAGTGCAGGGCAGGGCAGTGCAGTGCGGTGCGGTGCAGTGCACTACAGTGCAGTGGTGTGCAGTGTCGTGCTGTGTGTGTGTGTGTGTGTCTGTGGTGTTCGCACTGTTGTGGGCGAACCTGTCACCGCTCGTGCTGCTGCTGCTACTGCTTGCGCCACCAACGACAGCAGCGACTCTCCTCACCCTCCTTTTCTCGCGCACCCCCTCCTTCCACCCGCTCCTCCCACAAACTGCCTTCCTCTCCCACTCCCACAGATCACCCCAGCGGGCGTCCGTCTATGGGCGCGAATCCTCCTGGAAGTCCCCGGCTCGCGTGCATCAGTTAGCAGCTCATGTCCCACCTCGAGTCCCACCGCGTCTCCCCCCTCCCAGTCCACCGCGTCTCCCCCCTCCCAGTCCACCGCGTCTCCCCCCTCCCAGTCCACCGCGTCTCCCCCCTCCCAGTCCACCTGCTGCCGCTCTTGCTGCTGCTGCTGCTCCTGGTGGTGTTGGTGTTGCTGTCGCTTCTCACTCCCGTTTTCTCACTCCCTCCCTCCTCGCTCCTTCTCACTCCCACAGATCACCCCAGCAGTGGTCTGTCTATGGGCGCGAATCCTCCTCGCAGTCCCCGGGTCGTGCCTCATGCTCAAGTGCAAGCCCTTCACATGCCATTGCCCCCATTCCCCCCATCCGCGCATCCCCCCCATCCTTACAATCACAGATCACACCAGTAGTCGTCCGTCTATGGGCACGCACGCATTCTCCCAGCAGTCCATCAGCCAGCAGCTCATGGCTCAGCTTGAGTCCCACGGCATCTCCCCTCTGCGCGTCCACCTGCTGCCGCTCGTGCTGCCGCTGGCGCTGCTGCTGCTGCTGCTGCTGCTACTGGTGCTGCTGGTGTTGGTTCCGCCGTCCCTTCTCACTCTCCTTCTCTCACTTCCTCCCTCCCCCCTCTCCTTCCTTCCCGGCCCACCCCTCCTCTCCCGCTCCCACAGATCACCCCAGCAGTGGTGCGTCTGTGGGCCCGAATCCTCCTAGCAGTCCCTGGTTCCCGCCTGATGCTCAAGTGCAAGCCATTCACATGCGTGTCCATCAGCCAGCAGCTCATGGCGCAACTCGAGTCCCACGGCATCTCCCCTCTGCGCGTCGACTTGCTGCCGCTCGTGCTGCTGAATCACGAGCACATGCAGAGCTATGCCGTGATGGATATCAGCCTCGACTCGTTCCCCTATGCCGGCACCACCACCACATGCGAGTCTCTCTTCATGGGCGTGCCGTGTGTCACCATGGCTGGCCGAGTGCATGCCAATAACGTAGGCGTGTCGCTGCTCACGAATATGGGTGAGTGGGTTCTCCTTGCCTTGCCGTTCCCCTATGCCGGCGTCACCACCACGTGCGAGTCGTTGTTCATGGGCGTGCCGTGCGCTACCATGGCTGGGAGAGTGCATGCGAACAACGTTGGTGTGTCGCTGCTTACAAACATGGGTGAGTGAGTATTTGCTGGTTGCTCGACTCGTTCCCCTATGCCGGCACCACCTTGCTCGACTCGTTCCCCTATGCCGGCACCACCTTGCTCGACTCGTTCCCCTATGCCGGCACCACCTTGCTCGACTCGTTCCCCTATGCCGGCACCACCTTGCTCGACTCGTTCCCCTATGCGGGAACAAGGACTAGCACGTTGTATTTGTTGGTTGGGAATATGGGGGGTTGAGTGCGGTTAGGTTGTCTGCGGTGGATAGACACGGGGGTTGGGTCGCTCTTCATCGGTGTGCCGTGCGTCACCATGGCTGGGAGAGTGCGAATCCGGAAGTGTTGAGAGCGGTTGAATTGGCATGTGGTGTGGTGTGAGTCGCTCTTCATCGGTGTGCGCTGTGTCTGCGGCAGCGTGCAGTAACGCCGGCATCTCGCCGCTGACAAACATGGGTGAGTGGATTTGGTCGGGGCGAGACAGGTACAAGCACAGGCGCTCTTCCTTCTCCTCCTCCTGGTTTTTTTGGATTTCTCAAAAACCATTTTCAAAAACCATTCTCAAAAACCAGTAAGTGGATTTGGTCGGGGAGACAGGTACAAAAGCAGTGCTCTTGCTTCTCCTCCTCCTCCCCTTGCCACGCCCCCTGCCGCTTCCCCTGCCATTCTTTTAATAAACACAGAGTGTTACCACCTCCACTTCGCCCACCCTTTCGCTCTCCCCAGTTCCCCTTCCCCCTTTTTGAAACGTCTTAAAAGTCTTCCCCATCCCCCCTTCCTCAAGGCCTGCCGAATCTGGTGGCTCGGAAAGAGGACGAGTATGCAGCAGAAGCCAACTAATCGTTATCATGCCTACTCACCCAACCCCGTATCTCCCTTCCTCAAACCCACCCCCACACCTCCCCACCTCCTCCAGGCCTGCCGAACCTGGTGGCTCGGAACGAGGACGAGTACGTGGCCATAGCAACGCAGCTAGCCTCGGACATCCCGCAGCTGGCGTCGCTCCGAGCCTCCATGCGTCCGCGCATGCTCGCATCACGCCTCTGTGACGGTCCTGCTTTCACCCGAGACTTGGAAACCACGTATCGCTCTCTGTGGCGCCGCCACTGCCGCGAGCACTCTACGCCTGCTGCTGCTGGTGGTGCTGCTGCTGGTGCTGCTGGTGGTGCTGCTGCTGGTGCTGCTGCTGGTGCTGCTGCTGGTGCGGCGTGTGTTGCTGAGCCTAGGAGTATGCGTGTTGCTGTTGCTGGGGATGGCAGTGGGGGTAGTGGAGGTTCTGGTGGTGCTGCTGCTGATGCTGGTGTTGCTGCTGGTGGGGGTTCAGCTGATGGTGCTGGTGCCACTGGTATTGCCGGTGTTGGTGGGCGCGGTGGGAGTGACACGGATGGTTTTGCTGATGCTGTTGGTGCTCTCTCGGGTGCTGGTGGTGCTACTGCGGCTGGTGCTGGTGCTGGTGCTGGTGCTGGTGCTGGTGCTGGTGCTGGTGCTGGTGCTGGTGCTGGTGCTGGTGCTGGTGCTGCGGTTGCTACACTGGCTGCTGATGGTGGTGTGGGGCAGGGAGGCGTGGGTGCGAGTGGGGGTGAGGGAAGTCAAAGCAGAGGAGGAGGGAGGACAAGCAAGAAGAAGCAAGGAGAGGAAGGGGTGGTGGGAAAACGAGAAAAATCACCAGCAGGAGCAGGAGCTGGAGGAGCTGGAGGAGCAGGAGGAGGAGGGGGAGGAGGAGGGGGGTGCACGCGAACAGCAGAGGGGGTATCCGAGGCAGTGGCATCTGTGGGGTCTAAAGCAGCACCTGTGGAGGATAGCCGTGGGGGAGGCAGCAGCAGCAGGCGGGGGGAGGGTGGGACTGGGGGAGGGTTTGACGGACTGGGGGGCAGTGGTGTCTCAACAGCGGAAGCAGCAGCAGCAGCAGCAGCAGCAGCAGCAGCAGCAGCAGTGGAGGGGGCTTCAGGTGCTGCTGGGACAGACTCTCTGAGTGCTGGCCTCAGGTAGCTTCAGGTGCCTCAGGCAGCTTCAGGTGCCTCAGGTAGCTTCAGGTGCCTCAGGCAGCTTCAGGTGCCTCAGGTAGCTTCAGGTGCCTCAGGTGGCTTCAGGTGCCTCAGGTGGCTTCAGGTGCCTCAGGTAGCTTCAGGTGCCTCGGGAGGTAGCTTCAGGTGCCTCTGGTGGCTTCAGGTGCCTCAGGTGGCTTCAGGTGCCTCAGGTAGCTTCAGGTGCCTCAGATAGCTTCAGTTGCCTTGGGTTCCACAGAAGGTAGCTTTCAGGTGCGTCAGGAAACTTGGGATTGCTGGCAGCGTAATCCTGTTCAACCTGTACAAGCACCAGAACTGGCAAGGGCAGGCGTACTGGCAAGGGCAGGCGTACTGGCAAGGGCAGGCGTACTGGCAAGGGCAGGCGTACTGGCAAGGGCAGGCGTACTGGCAAGGGCAGGCGTACTGGCGAGGGCAGGGGTTGTGGCGAGGGCAGGGGTTGTGGCGAGGGCAGGGGTTGTGGCGAGGGCAGGGGTTGTGGGAAGGGCAGGAGTTGTAGGAAGTGCAGCTGCAGCAACTGCTGCGGTGCTGCTCCAAAATTCCGGATACAGTGGGTCCTTTGTCTTTGTGGGGTGCGTGTTGGGGGTGTCTTATGCTAGTGCGTTAGGGGAGAGGAGGGATGCGAAAGTGATGTGTGTTGAAATGGTGTCAATCTGCGTGGCGCGAGTCTCAGTGGTGCACTTTCCGGGAGCTTTATGTGTTTCGGCGTGCGTACGTGTGAGTCGACCCGATGTGGTGGCATGGGCAACAGCAGCAGCAGCAGCAACCGCTGTGGTTTTTACGGAAACCAAAACACAAAAATGTAGGTTTCCAGTAGGTAGAAAACAGTTTCAAGAGCAGAGGGAGGAGGCGCGAGGGGGAGTGCATGGTGGGGGTGGGAGAGCTGGGAGGAGAGGGGAGGAGCAGTTAGGAGCTTCCTTTCCATCCCAATCCATGGCTGCCAAAAGGGTGGTGGTGAAGGGAGGGGAGGGGGTGTAGGTTGTCCAGTGGGGAGGAAGCAGTTCCAGGAAGCAGGGAAGAGGGGAGGAGCAGTTAGGAGCCTCCTTTCCATCCCAAACCACAGATGCCAAAAGGGTGGTGGTGAGGGAAAGGGGCAGGGCAGAGAGTTCAGGAGGTGAAGGGAACTTAGAATCTGCTTGTGTAGGGAGGAGCTTTGACGTGTCTCATGGCTTCCAGGAAAATGATGCGGCAGGTTCTAAATGGTGGGGCTGGTTCTAAATGGCGGGGCAGGTTCTATTCTAAGGCGGCACGTATTTCGAATCTGCTTGTGGAGGGGGTGTGGATGTGGGGATGGGTGAGGCGAGGGATGGGTGTGGGGATGGAAGCCAAGGCTTGCTCACTTCTGGTTGGATGAAAGTTCACAAGAAAGATGGATGCACTTCTTCATACCGGTATTTGGGCTGCACTGCACTCCTGTTTGTTCAAAAAGAAAACTAGGCAGGTGTTAGGGTTTCAAATAGGGAGCGTGTTCTGCTTGCGTGAGTGTCCCGCTTGTGTTGGTTTGAGTTGATTCAGAAGCCACTTGGGATGGGATGCATCGCTGCAGCTTGGCTCTGCTTGTTCTGTGCTGAGGTTAGCCCTACATTCTGCATGCACATACCGTATTCTACCGTATTTTTTTTTTTGCCCGAAGCGCGCTCCCCCCCCCGAGTCGCGCCTCGGGCTTTCACCTCGTCGAGCCGCCCTAGTGGCCACTACGCCCTAGCGGCCCTCCCTCTCCTGTGGCCCCGCCGCCCTACGTCGCGGCCCCGCCGCCTTTCTCGACGGCCCCGCCGCCTTGCTCCTGCGGCCCCACCGCCCTACGTCGCGGCCCCACCGCCCTACTCCTGCGGCCCCGCCGCCCTACGTCGCGGCCCCGCCGCCTTTCTCGGCGGCCCCGCCGCCTTGCTCCTGCAGCCCCACCGCCCTACGTCGCGGCCCCGCCGCCCTACTCCTGCGGCCCCGCCGCCCTACGTCGCGGCCCCGCCGCCTTTCTCGGCGGCCCCGCCGCCTTTCTCAGCGGCCCCGCCGCCTTGCTCCCGCGGCCCCGCCGCCCTACTCACGCGGCCCCGCCGCCCTACATCAGCGGCCCCGCCGCCCTACCCCGGCGGCCCCGCTGCCCTACGTCGCGGCCCCGCCGCCCTACGTCGCGGCCCCGCCGCCCTATGTCGCGGCCCCGCCGCCCTACTCACGCGGCCCCGCCGCCCTACTCACGCGGCCCCGCCGCCCTACCCTTGCGGCCCCGCCGCCCTATGTCGCGGCCCCGCCGCCCTACTCACGCGGCCCCGCCGCCCTACATCAGCGGCCCCGCCGCCCTACCCCTGCGGCCCCGCCGCCCTACGTCGCGGCCCCGCCGCCCTACGTCGCGGCCCCGCCGCCCTACTCCTGCGGCCCCGCCGTCGTATCGCAGCGGCCCCGCCGCTTCCTGCTCCTGCCGCGCCGCCCTACAGCGGCACTACCGAGCCGCCCAGCAGAAGAGGAGCCGAGCCGCCCTGCTGCCGAGTCGCACTGCAGCCGAGCCGCCCGGCCGCCCACCAGTCGAGCCGCCGTGCAGCCGAGCCACACAGCAGCCGAGCCGCCGAGCCGCCCTAGCAGCCGAGCCGCAGAGCCGCCGAGCCGCCCTACAGCCGAGCCGCCCGAGCAGCCTTGTCCGATGAGCACAGCCCCTCTGTCACTGCGTGCCCTCACCCTACTGTTTGCACTGCTAGGTGTCTGCCGTCATGGCTACCCCCAGTGTCCTCACTTTTGACGCTGAGGGTAGGGCCATTGACTTTGAGATCTGGGTAGACGACCTGCAGCTGTTCTTACAGTGCGATAGCGCAGACGGCCTCTCTCTCTTTGACCTTACCTCTGGCGCTTCCCCTGCCCCTGTTGCTAATGCTGACGCCACTGTTCGCTCCCAGTGGGCCACGCGCGACGCTGCTGCACGTCTTGCTGTACGTCGCCACCTCCCTACCTCCGAGCGTGCGCACTTTAGTCCGTACAAGAGTGCTCAGACCTTGTACGACGCTGTAGTCGCGCGCTACTCCTCCCCTGCCACTGCTGCACTGAGCCGTCTCATGCTACCGTACCTCTTCCCTGACCTTGCTGCCTTTCCCACCGTGGCTGACCTCATTACGCACCTCCGCACTACTGACACTCGCTACCGCGCTGCACTCCCTGCTGACTTCTGCGCCAAGAACCCCCCCCCATGTACATCACTCTGTACTTCCTAGTCACTCGCCTTCCTGACTCCTTTCGAGTAGTCAGGGACCAGTTTCTCTCAGTCTGTCCCACCACCCTCACCGTAGACCTCCTCGAGAAGGCCCTTTTTGCAGCGGAGAAGAGTATAGTCGCTGTAGGAGCCTCTCGAGGTGACCCGCGCACCCCCATCTTCGAGGGGTGTTCTCCCTCCTCCTTGCTGCCCTCTGTTGCCTCTGCTGCTGCGGCCGACCTCCTTGGTCTTGAGTCGGTCGGTGCGGCGTCTGCCCCTAGCAGGAGACGCCGCCCTGGCAAGGGCAAGGGGGGCAGGGGAGCTAGAGGAGCGGGCGGTGGAGGTGGAGGTGGAGGCGGTGGGGGGAGTGGGGGTGGCGGTGGGAGTGGAGGTGGGGGTGGGGGGGTCGGTGGCGGCAGTGGAGGCGGAGGCGGCGGCGGCGGTGGCGGTGGGAGCGGAGGTGGCAGAGGAGGCGGCGGTGGAGGCGGCGGCGGAGGCGGCGGCAGCAGCGGAGGCGGCGGAGGCGGCGGAGGCGGTGGGGGTGGCGGTGGAGCTGGTCGCGGGTCTTCGCAGAGGAGTGGCTCCGATGGTGGCTCGCGCCAGCAGCAGCAGCGCGGTCGTGAGACCCTGTCCCCTCAGCAGCTCCGTGAGTGGTACACTGCACGCCAGCGGGGTGGGGGTTTTGGTCAGTGCACCTACGTCCTGCGCACCGGCGACCGTGCGGGTGAGCACTGTGGGGGCGCGCACCCCACCCAGCGCTACTTTGGCCGCCTGACGGACGCGTGGCGTCACGAGTTCCCGGAGGCCTCAGAGATCCTTCGCTGGGGCGAGCTGTCTAGGGCGGGTGTTGCCATCTTTGATCTTGACTTTGATGTTATTCTCTCTGCCATGTATGCTCTGTCTATTAGTGATGAGGGTGACTGTTACCGCTGTTTCCCGCCCGATCCGGGCATTGAGTCTGCTGCTCTAGGTACTGGTGCGGCTGCTGCCCTAGGTGCTTGCGACGCTGCTGCTCTAGGTGCTAGTGTGTCTGTGTCCTCAGGTACTGGTGAGTCTGCGCTCTCAGGTACTACGTCGGCTTCGGCCTCCCTCACCTTCACCCTTGACTCTGGGGCGTCTCGCTCCTTCTTTCGGGAGCGCACCACACTCACGCCGCTCAGTCGGCCAGTAGCGGTGTCTCTGGCTGACCCCTCCGGGGGTCCTGTACTGTCTCGCTTCTCCACAGTCCTCCCGTGTCCAGCGGCTCCCTCTGGCACCCTGTCTGGTCTTTACCTTCCCTCGTTCTCATCGAACTTGGTGAGTGGTGCTGACCTACAGGATGCAGGTGTCCACCAGTTCACTCCTGCGCGTCAGCGAGTGACACACTGCACAGAGGCTAGCACAGGCCGACACCTGGCTACGTTCACCCGTCAGCCGGGGTCGAGCCTGTACACTCTGACCACTGCGTCTCCTCCACTTGCTGAGTCTGGCAGGGTAGCTGCGTCGGGTCAGGTGTTTGCTGCGGCGTCCAGGTCTGATCCTGAGTCTTCCCCCTGTTCGTGTTGTCTCCTGTCTCACGAGACTCTCCTCTGGCACCACCGCCTTGGCCACCCCTCTCTGCTTCGGCTCAGAGGCATGGCCTCTCGTCATCTTGTGTCTGGTCTCCCTCGGTCCCTCCCTCCCCTTCCTCAGGGCCCTGGCCGTGCCTGTGTCCCCTGTGTCGAGGGGCGCCAGCGTGCTGCCCCTCACTCCTCCCAGTTTCCTCCGACAGAGGCCCCGTTGCAGACGCTTCACATGGACGTGTGGGGCCCAGC